CAAGCACGCTGCCGCTGGCACCACGACCGAGGAATCATCAGGCACCGGAGTCAAATCTGGTACCTCGGAAGCCTCGCTGGCTTTCTCGGCACCTTTGCTCGATGATGACTTTGCCTTTGCCTTCACCTTCGCCTTGGGCTCAGGCTTCGCTTTCGCCTTCGCCTTCGACTTCGGACTCGCTTTCGCCTTGGGGCCTGCGGATTTTTTGGGCCTCCCTGGACCCCGCTTCTTCTTCGGCATCCCATCGACACCACCATGCTCATCTTCAGCACTCGCGGTGGTGTGCTTCAAGGCAAGCTGATCACTTCTGGTCAAAACCTCAACTATAGATACTATCTCACTGAGACTATTGAAACGAAGCTAAAGCTTAGAACATCGGAACCCAATACCACTACATGCATAAAGTCATTTAGGGAACCTTCGCTGGCGGGCTCAAATCCATGAACTTCTGCTCCTTCACCACTGGCGCTGCAGAAGCTGACGAGGCCTGCAAAGGTTGACCTTCGACAGGACCGGCTCGGAAGAGCACTCGGGGCTCTGGGGGTGACTCGGTTCCGCCGGGCACGGTGGTGTTGATGATATGCATCTCCTCGGCCCATAGTGGCTCCATCAGTGCCTGGGTATCCGGGTCATACATCTGGGTCTCTTGCTCGTCAACAGCGGCACGAACACGCAGGGGAATGGAGCCATCATCATCCGAATCGGCAATGACTTCAGGAACAGCAGCACCTTATGAAGCACTACACACTATTATCACTGCAAACACGAAAGACAGAAAGACCATCAATAGACTGAAACGATAACAAACCCTCGCTCACTTGCAAAGCCAGGTAGCTTGCTGGCTTGGCCCGGGTTGCCAAAGGCATAGAACGCTTCCTGGAATAGCAAGCCGGACTTCTGCTACCCACCCAAGTGTCTGCACCGGCACACAGAAATCTCACTACATCAACAAAGCCCCCCTGAAACAAAACATATCGCGGCAAAGCTTCAGAAGCTGGGCTTTGAGCTTGGCCCGGCTCAATGCAAGCTTGGCTTCCAAACTGATCAGTGGTCGTGCAACCTCCCTAGTTGATGGCAATGTATCCGTGGTAGTCACCTTGGCCTGGGAACTCTTATCCACTTCGTTTGCCCTCGGCCCAGAACCCGAAGATCCTGCTGAAGCATGGGTTTTCAATGCCACCAGCTCTGAACCCGAAGATCCTGTTGAAGCAAGGGTTTCCACTGCCACCGGCTCTGAACCCGGAGATCCTGCTGAAGCTCGGGTGTCCGTTGCCACCGGCTCTGAACCCGAAGATCCTGAAGCTCGGGCTTCCACTGCTAACAGCTCTGACCCTGCACCTTCCACATGGCCAACAACAGCATCTCGAGCAAGGCCTGCATAGCAGAAGAGCTGGCGTGCCTGCATATCAGATACGGACATAGGAATTACCCGCGGCGCTGGCCTCGGCTCTGATCCCGTGCCCATAACCACCTCTGATCCTGAAGCTACCATCTCCGTTGCCACGACCTCTGATGCTGAAGCTACCGTCTCCGTTGCCATGACCTCTGATGCTGAAGCTACCGTCTCCGTTGCCACGACCTCTGATGCTGAAGCTACCGTTTCCGTTGCCACAAGCCCTGATGCTGAAGCTCCCGTTTCCGTGGCCCTATCTCCCACGTCGATTGCCCTGGGCTCTGCTGCCGCAGCTTCTCCTTGGATGTCATCCTCTGACACCTCTCGGCGGATCATGGTCTCCCCTGCCTTGGTTGCACTATACTGCTCACGGACCCATACACACCCACACACAAACTCACAGATGCACACAGATGCACACACACACACACACAAACCCACACACTCACTCATTCCATCATTTCTCTCTACAAGCGAAACCTGAAAGTAACCGAAATTAGTTGATCATCAAGGAGCAGCAAGAGCGGCTTCGCAGATCAAATCGTACATCCGCACCAACTTCTGGACGATATCATCCTGCATCAGAGCCGACTACGGGTCTATATCGATGTATCTAGATCTGTATGTCCATACCAAAAAATCCTATGTGCAAGAACGAATCCATAATGCACCCTTTGCGGTCCTTGGGAGTTTCATTGCGCGCCCACTTTCTTTTCAAGAAGGTCAAACAACGCTTGGCACTCCAGGCGTCACGGTGAGCAATGAGCGGAATCGCTGACTTGTCAGGAAAATTCGAGATCTGGAGATATTCCTTGCATACCTCACTCAGTGTCTCGACTCCGGGGGTGTCAACTGTGCGGCTCTCCAACATGAGCTCCAAGATGCTCATGAGCGCATCATAGTTCTCCCTGCAATCTCTCAAGTTGCCCAGACATGAAGCTTGCCCTTGAACCGTCGCGAGAAACACTGAGTAACCTTGGGCTGATTGGGAGCGCAGCTTCCGCACACTCTCCCACACCCCTGGCAACTTCGACAAATCTGCTTGTCGTTTCACCATGGCTGCTCCAGCACGACGAAGTGAAATCCCTATCACTGCACAACAGCCCAAATGGCTCATGAGATAAGCTTTGGAGATCACAGATGGTTTCAAATCAGACAGTACCCAGTCTGGTGGCAGAGAATCACAAAGCAATCTATGAGTCCGACTTATATTAACCGCACTCGATCACCCGTAAACCTGAGGGCACCCTTCTGACCATAACACCTATAAACCCTGTATGTAGTTAGCTAAGACCTACAACCCAAGACAGCCCTGCAGCACGAAGCCGGATCGGTTGGGGCCTTGCCAAGGCCAATGAAGACCGGCCGCACGCCGCGTCGCCGCATCATCCTGCGGCGAAAAATTGGGCTTGGAGGGCTTTGCGAGGGGTGGGGTCGGGTGAAGGGGTCCGGGATTTTTTCGGGTTCAAACTGAGCCTTAAGACAAGTATCACTTCGGAAACCGGAAACCCATATCAACCCAACCCAAACCCCACTCGGTCCTCTCGCGGAAGTGAAGCAGCAGCATGAAGCCCGGCAAGTCGAGCATCCCATTTCAGCTTGCAAGCTGTGTTTCAAGTAGATGTGTATGCAATTATATGCAGAGCCTAGCCTATACGTAGTGTATGTGAAAGTAAGATTTGCAGGATGCTTATAGCGAGTCTGGAACCAGGCTTCACATGTAGATGTTTGGGATATGGCAGATATAGGGAAGAAAGCTTTGGAGATTACCCCATAGACCTTTGATTTGATATGAGACGATTCACGCCCGACGGGGCCGTCTTGTGCTCTTGAGAGCAGACAACCGGGCCTCGTGCACAAACTGTACTCACTGAAGCTTCATTCCACCCCTCATTTCTTATTCCCAAGAGCATTAACCAGAATCCCACCCCCCAAAGACCCTGGATACCCTGGACTCCCAGGTTTTCGCAGTTCCATGGCAGTTTACGGGCGTGGGTCTGTAAAACCGGTAACTATAGTCATACCAAGACAAAACCAGGTTATTCCAAATTAACGCTTTATTAACAGTCGTTGGCTGCCATAGGTACATATATATATATATATATATGTATGTATGTATATATATATATATATACACATACATACATACATACATACATACATAATATACACACCTGCGTACGTACATATTTGCTTCATATACTTTTATATTTATATATATAGTATGATGTATGTATAACTGTATAATCATATGTTTGTTGTTAGATCGATGTCTTTGTCAACGGCTATGCCTACACGGAAGTCAATCTCAATTGCCACGTAAAAGTACATGGTTAACTGTACATGTGAATGTACATGTAGATTCATATATGTGCGTGTATATGTATGTGCATGTTGTGCATGTACATATTTAGTTGAATGAACATGTGTACATGCATGCATGCAGTTTTGCACGTGATTCCGGATCCCGGGCTGCTGCCCCCCGCTTTTCCCCGCCTCCCCCCACCATTCCCAAGTTTTGACAGTGGTGGCTTTCGGCGGGCGGGATCGTCGCCATGTTGTAAGCGTTAGACCTGTTGCTGTCAGGTTCCTCGTGACTTTCGCAAGTCTTCGACATGCGGGGCAACTTCGCAGGTGAAAAATGGTATCAGCGGCTGGCACGAACCGCGATCTACCAGTTGCACGACTCTCCTTGCTATGTGGGCTAGGTTCCGGATACGCGCCGGAGCAGAACCTCAATCACATGGGGACGGCGTGACGAGGTGGCGGTTGTCCGCGGGACTGCCAGTGCTGCGCGGAAAACCGCACGAGCCAAACCGAACGTAGGGAAACATGCTGGGACAGGGGCACCGCATGCGCAGTGATGGAGGGAACAACAACAACAGCAGTGTGGCAACAAGCACAACAATCACAACTACTGAACTAACAAGCAGGTGTCACCATACTCACACCAACCTCCATCACGGGCAAACGACCCACATAAACACCATGAAACACATATTCATGGACAAATAATTGGCGGCCGAAGCAAAAATCAGAGGGGAGGGGGGGGGAGGGTGCGACAAAAAAAGCCAGGAGACCAATAACCCAAACAAGACCACAGGCAGAACACCAGAGGGCAGCGGATGCAGCGGAGGGAGGGGCACCATGGAGTCGGTGGGCGGGCAGGGAGGAGTCGGGAGCTCAGGCCCTGGATGATGCGTAAATGCAGGTATGAATGTATGTATGCATAAAACCGATCATGTCAACATAGAGCATCAAAAAGCGGGTATACACACCAACATGACCGTCAGACAAACACCAACTGCCACAGGTGCAACCACGACCATGAACCTACAAACCAGTGTCAGTGTTGATACTGAAGGTCCCACAAGTGTTTGACTGCAAGGAAGGTGCTACGGCTCAGACGACTCCTTTCCTCTCATTACCGACTGTCTCGCTAACGGAAATGGCGAAGTATACGGCATACAGCCCAGAACGCTGAACTCTGCAGAACCATGCAGCCCATAAAGGGATCAACACTTCTTCAAGTACTGCTCGTTACTCAACGATGTTCCAATAATCGAACCTGAAGAACACAGACCCGGGACTTAAGAATCCAAGTCACCTGGTTTACGTGGGTGCCCATGGAGATAAACAGCTCGAGCGACCGCTGCCTGAAAAGGCGCAGTTTGCATTCCTGACCTGCGCACTAATTAGACTCCCACTCGCGTGCCTGGTCATGGTTGTATGAATGGTAGGTATGGGGCCGGGACAGGGCATGAACCACATCGGTATATAACAGTGCTTACGCTAGAGTTGTGTCCAAAGAGCGATTCGCACAGATGGGCCAGAGCACACTCAGGAGAAAGACAAAGCAACATCCATGGGGCGCAGGCGTCTACTCTCATCCAGTGCTAGTTCCTGCAAGCATGACAACAACGGCGAACCCCAAGCTAGCTCCACAATCTTCAAGCTGGTAAGTAGGCAAGGTCCAGTCACACCAACACCTCTGCCTTACAACAGCAAACAATTAGACACACAAAGCAACAATGCCATAAGACTTTCTCAGCTTTGTCGCACGTTTCCAGCATCACACAACCGTGTCAAGGTCCTGAGGGACAACAACATCATCATCACCATGATCGTCATCATCATCATCATTGCCATCGTGACCTTCATCAACTCAGCACATCGCGAAAATCCTCCCAAGCCATCAGCACCAGAGCCAACTGCAACAAGGAGGCCACTGGCTGCTGCGCTCAAATGCACTGAGAAGAGTGTTGAAGAACCTGACTGGTCTAAGCTTCAGGTGGCTTGAGCATATAGTGGATGATTAAATATTTGCAAACCCACACGGGTTGGGCGTCGTAGGGGGAAATGGTTTTTTGTACGCAGAACCGCCAGAATCGTTGAAATTCTGCGAAGCTCCACGACTCTGAATAACGCTAGCAGCCACCAGTATGCATTCAGGGGAATGTGCATTTCCAAGGGTCGCGTCCTGCATGTTCTGCTGTCGCAGTGGTCCAATGCTGACATGTCCAGTCCAGAGGTAGGGTGGTTTCGCTTCAGGAGAGTGGCTGCTATTGTCTGTCCTGCGAAGTGCACAGCTCGCATGCGAAGTTTTCGTCGTTTGCAGGGCCCAGGTTTGTCAGGCATGCGGAAAGCGGGGGATCCGCTTTGCCCCCTTCGAAATTCAAAGCGTCCTAGTGCAGCCCCAGAGCGCAATGTCGGTGCTCGTGGCCAGACCTGGCGGCCACGGGAGTCGAGCGGCGTAGGGCACCTACTACATGAAACCAGCTAGTTCAGCAGACCATGCTGACAACGATCGCTTCCCTCGCCATCGTATTCACGGCCATCGCCGTTGCATTCATCATCATCGCATATCACGACGAAGGTAGCATTAGTTAGCGTCGTCACCATCACAGTAAAGCATCTCGTTGACACGAGGACCGTTGCCAAAGGCAAGCTGCCAGCCGTTACCGGCACAGAAAACCTCTGTGACTCTTAACTTCGAATCACAGGGTCAAGCCCTCTCTGAGCTTGCGCGAGTTGCTTCCTCGATTCCGAATGCATGTGCTAACATCTTTGAAGCCTATGGCTTCGGGAAGCGTCACATGGACCCAACCTTATCAGTCAGCTAATACAGTTAATGACTTCGTTCAAGGTCTCACATGCTCGACCTCGTCCGAGCGCAAACGGGCCTGATTCTCCAAGCTGCAGCGCTTGCTGCCATTGGCTGGCCTTGCCAGCAGCTTTGATGCTCGCACCTCAGAACTACGTGAAAGCACGAGGTTGCTTGGGGATATCGAAAAATAGTCTGATGTTGCAGTCAAGCAGATACTGTAGAGAGCTTGGCCGAAGAGGGCAGGTATCCGGCTGTACTGCATTGCCGAAAGGGCTACTTAGCGCTACAGGTGACCGGTAGAGATAACCAGGGAATCTCGACATGCAAAAGGGCAGAAATAACTTTCGGGATACTGATCCTTCGCGGCTTGGTGCGCCAGTTTCCACAATCTGCACCGCATGTGTTCGTCGAGCGTAATCAAACATGTGCCACAACGAACTGGATGCAGTCCCGGGTTGCCGATTACAAGGCCGGTATCGACAGCATGAGTGTTGGGCTGCAGCCAAGCTGCTTCTTCTCAAATCCATATGCATACCAACTTCACCAGACACCAAAGCAACAGTCGCAATCCCATCAGCCAGGTCAACTCATGTCCTGGAACCTTTCAGCCTTGAACCATGCGAGGAATGCCTGGCAAGCCTGAGGCCTTTGCCTCAAGTCCCCAACCCCCGTCCCCCACAACAACAAACAAGTTTCTATCCAGGCAAAGGCTCCAAAGCTTGCCACATCCCATGCAAACTCTGACTCCTGGAGGACTGAGGATGCCTGCAACCGGAGTTCAGGAGAGTTTTGGCGTTTTTCCTTTGGACACGTGGGGCGGTTTGCACAGGAAGCAGCTTGAGCAGCTGGTAAACTTGCAGTGCTGCCTGGGTCTGTCGGGGTTGATTGAAATCAGCGCAGCACAGTAGAGAAAGAACAGAGAAAGAGAGAGAGAGAGAGAGAGAGAGAGAGAGAGAGAGGGAGAGGGGGGAGAGACATGGAGCGTATGGAAGACGATAGCAAGACTATATCGCGCCAAGCCAAAGTCAAGACTGAAATGATGTCTAACAAGAAGCTTGCGGCTCAAGTGTGAAAACCGGTGTTCTGAGCATACAAAGCTTTTGGCAACATGTTTGAGACGCCTGCGGGATGAGGAGCTACAATGACTCTTGACCCCGCGACACACCGATCTAAGACCCCGACAAGTGCCCATTGAAAGCTTTCGGCACAAGCCTCAGTTCAAGACGTTTCATCGACAAGCCGCTGGCTGGTCTACTGAAAGCTTTCTATGTTGCTTTCTTCCGAGCGCGGCTCCACCCGAGCTCGAAACCTACGCTTCTTACACACAGAGCTGACTATCCAACAAGGCCCTAGGATCAACAAAGGAGAAATCAGAATTGCAGCACTTGTCCTCCTCTTGTTCCAGTTTCCAGCCTTGTGGGGTTGACCGTAGGTAAGGCACTCATCTACATATCTCGCCCGATGGGATTGTTTGACTATTGAGGGCCTGCTTTTGCACCGTGCCACACTTGCAGCAGAGATACCGCCAGCACTGAATTCCAGCATACAAGATCAGGGCGAAGCTGCGCGGCAAAATCACGAGATGTGCTGTAAGGGGACGGGGTCAGGTAATGTGCGCTTGCACCTATCACGCACATCGACATACCATGTGGCTCGGTGAAAACTCAATCAGGACAGGTTGGACCGCACTATGGTGCATCTCCAGCTTGACTAGAACATCTTTCCAAATACTATGCAGCTGTGGAAAGACGTGTTGCCTTGTCGCTACTCATTCCGGCTTGTGCCTGCGACCACGGAAGTGTCGCGATGGCCGACAGAGCCTCTCCAACTTGGATCCAGTCGTGTGAACGCAACAACATGACCGCAAGAATCAACGACAACATGAGGATTGTTGATGCGCTACGATGCATAGGATCGAAGAAATAAGTCCACAGCAGTGATCCGTAGCATAGTAGTAAGTAGTAGTGGTGGAGCAGCAGGAGGGGCAGTGTCTCGAAGTAGACGAAAAACGGCAGCAGGAGCAGTGGCAGTAGCAGTAGCAGCAGCAGCAGCAGTTGGAGTAGCAGTATTAGCAGTAGCAGTAGCAGTAGCAGTAACAGTAGCAGTAGCAGTAGCAGTAGTAGTAGTAGTAGTAGTAGTAGTAGCAGTAGTAGTAGTAGTAGTAGTAGTAGCAGTAGGAGTAGTAGTAGTAGTAGTAGTAGTAGTAGTAGTAGTAGTAGTAGTAGTAGTAGTAGTAGTAGTAGTAGTAGTAGTGGTCATTAGCAGTAGCAGTAGCAGTAGTAGTTGTAGTAGTAGTAGGAATAGTAGTAGTAGTAGTAGTAGTAGTAGTAGTAGCAGTAGTAGTAGTAGTAGTAGTAGAAGTAGTAGTAGAAGTACTAATATAGCAGTAGTAGTAGTAGTAGTAGTAGTAGTAGTAGTAGTAGTAGTAGTAGTAGTAGTAGTAGCAGGAGTAGGAGTAGGAGTAGGAGTAGTAGTAGTAGTAGTAGTAGTAGTAGTAGTAGTAGTACTACGATGCAAACTTCCGAAGAAACGTCAACGCCCAATGTAACATCGATTTGACTTTATTCCAGCGCATCCGTGAGAAGCCTCGAACATCACGCAAAGAAGCAAAGGGACATTCGGCCAGGGAAGCTTGGCCGCTGCTGCGCTGGCCGTGATCTCGTCAACGCCGCAGCCAGATCGATCCTGTCAGGGTTTAATAAAGGGCATCGTGCATTGGTTACACCTCTTTACACTTACTCTGGCTTTGAGCATGTCCGGATCTTGTCGGACTATACATCTTATCATCAAAACCTGTCGCGTGGTGCACTGAACAAAATTCGATTCGACTGCCAGCTTCGCAAATGGTCGTTAGGACTGCTAGACCGTAGTCGCTGCCGGCTCTTCTCTAGCATTTGCTTTGGGGGGCGGTAGGCCTCCATGAGCAGAGAAGCCTGCGCCCAGAACAGCCCCAGGCTGCCCAGTGTCGCCACAGTGGTCCTGCGGCTTAAATGCGTTCACGGGCGGCAGAATCCTGATGTGGTTTTCCACTTGAGGCGGTGTAGACTTGCAGCATGCAGTATAGGATAGTATAGGGTAGGCCATCGCCATGCCTAACCTACGCATCTGGGGAAGGTCTATGGTAGAATTTCAATTAAAACACAGGATAAAACATCCCAAGAAACAGCCTCGTAAGTCCCAATAGTAAGGATTGCTGATAATTCTCTGTCTTCCCAGAAAACCCTGTTGAGGAGCATGATTTATGGCATGGGGTGTATCCTAGACTTTGCCTTCCCTCCTTGACGTACCTTAAGCTGCACGCGTCCTTCCCCAATGTACTGGACAAAGCGAGGTACAGCCCATAAGCACACGAAGACCACCAAACATGTCTGCCAGGAGTAGAAACTCAAAACCAAAAGCAGAATATAGTTTCTTCTGCGCATGCTGGGTTTTCATATGATGTCTAGATATGCCTGCTTGCTTCTCATCCTCTCTGACGAGGTGTTCCCAGGCTTGGGGCGAAACAAATCCGGCCAGGCACAGCCACGAAAGCTCACGGCAACAGAAACCAAGGCGTGTTTGTCCAACTGCAAATGCCTGCTAAGCACTGAAACATGAGGGATGATGGTTGCGCTGGTTGTAACGGGACAGGTGCTTGCGGCCAGCACAGGTGTGAATAAGCAGGTAGTGCACCATGTATGAAGTGTTGATGTGTTTTGGGGGAAACAAATGTGGGGTTCAAGCGCCTGCCGTCATCGACTACGCCAGCCATCGGGTGGTTCCTTGAGATTCTCAAATCAATATCGGTCGCAAATTGGTAGTTGTCGACAACTACACATACGATACATGCCAAACATCACGAGAAGTGATGCAGCTGCTAAGTAGATGGGTTGGCCTTGCCGATGCTGCGTAAAGTTACGGAAAACATCCCGTGCCTAACAACCACATGAACTAGCTCTACCGCATCCCAACATAAGCTCGGCAAATTCACAGTGAATGTGGACCAGGACATCCAAACTCTTCAACACAGCAATAGTTTGGCAAAGCCGCTAACTGTTCGAAAACAATCGCCGATCTGCTTCACCCTTCCTGGCTGTAGGCAGCAGATGCCTGTGCTGCATGTTCTTCATGAGGGAGAGAGCCTTACCACAATGCATACTCCTTTCGCTTCAGAGAGTCCAGGGATGATGACAATGGTGAAAGCTGGAGCTGTCCACCACAGCAACGTGGTGCAACTTGCTGCTTCGACCAAGATGCCACCAGCCAAGCAGAACCCACGGCACACGCCGTGATAGATGTATTGCCTTGCAGTGCGTAGTGCGCAGAGCAGGTCGCTCTGCAAAAGCTTCTCGTGGAAAACCCGGATGTAGGCTTGCACTGTTCCAGAAGTCTCGCAGCCAAGAGGCAGGTTGTATTGTCGGGCTTCAGCACAAGGCACCTGGCTTCTACAATGCAGTCGTTACTCCAGCAAACGACACCCCCTGGCGGAGATCCCAAAAAACTATCGTCGCCGTGCTTGGGGAGCATCGCGGGCCAGCAAGCTACAGAATTGAACAACGCTGTGGTGGAGACTTGCTTCCGGGTCGAAGACTTGAAGTAGTTATGAAAACTTGGATATACATAAACATGCAGAAATATCTATCTGACATATATATATATATATATATATATATATATATATATTAGTGTGCATACAGAATACATGCATACATACATACATGCATACATACACATACATGCATACGTACATACCTACGTACATGAAGACATGCATGCATGCATGCATGCATGCATGCATTCATACGGACATACGTACTTACATGCTTGCATATGCATACACACACAACACGTATGTAAGTATGTACGTATGTACATAGGTATGTATGTATACATGCATGTCTGTACGTATGCATGTATGTATGTATGCATATATATATATATATATATATATACGTGTGTGTGTGTGTGTGTGTGTGTGTGTGTGTGTGCATGTATGTGTGTGTGTATCCATGTATATATGTATCTCGCACACACACACACACATATATATATATATATATACATACACATGCATAAATGGACATGTGTGTGTGTTGCGTGTACCAGATATCTATCTATATGTGCATGCATATATCTGCCTAACCATCAACGCACATGTGTGTATATATGCATGCATACATGTACGTATGTATGTATGTATGTATGCACATGTGTAGGTGTGTATATATATATGTACATATATATATATATTATATATGTAATGTATGAGTGTTTGTCTTGAACACACACAAATGAATGTCTATGAGTGTATACATATATATGTTACATATATCTTATATATCTATGCATACATGCATACATACGTACAGACATACATACATATATGCATACATCCATACATACATACATACAAGTAGATATATACACCTACACACGAACCATGAATAACTTCATATGTCAATATACATACATATATAATACGTAGACACACACATACACACATGTGTAATTACATTCACATCTACATATGCTGGGTTGCTTATGTACTACATATGATATGATAGGATATGTGCCGGTAGATCTGCAGTTACTGCAGTTCCAGTCCTCTAGAATACGCCGACCTCGTCCATCAAACCCCACGTAACAAGCCACAAACCAAGAATCCGAGATCTCGTGCTGTTTTCAGCCTAACCCTTCGTTCGTGTTCTGCCTTGCACACGAAGCCTGAAGATCCTGAGCATTCACTTCCTGCATCCACTCTTCAAACACTCATCAGAAAACTCCCCACAAGCAACCTGGAACGAGCGATTCCTGATTTCCACAATTCTGCACAAAACACTCTTCGTCGAGTCAACCGCAACAGCATATCCTAATTCCTTAGGCTTCTGTACTGCGGACCCTCCTCCTGCCTCAGCGCAGAGACCAAGGCGAGGGCTTTGCCCCAGGCACCAACCTTGCCACAGCCGGACAGTGCAGCATTGAGACCTGAGTCGCGAATCAGTACGGCGATCACCCCCCATCATCCTCATCATCATCAACACCAAAAAACGTCCTGACGATGTTGCTGCTGGTGATCATTGACCGTGATCCTGGTGCATGTGGCCATCTTGGTGTTGGTGCTGGTGGTCTTGGGGCGGCGGCGGCGGATTGGTGTTGCTGCTTCTGCTAGTGTTGGCAATGGCGGCGGCGGCAGTCACTGTGCTTTGTGGTCGTGGTTCTGATCCGGTACTCTCGGCCGGTTTAATGGAGAAGCCTTTACTAATCGAGAGATTAAGCCACAAAGCATAAAGATGATGCTACCAGCGGGTTAAGCAACTCGCAGCTTAATGTGTCATTAGAGTCTGCTATTCGCAGGCAGTCTTCGCAATAAGAAAACAAGAGTGAAGTAGTATCCAGAGTTCGGGAGAGAACGAAAGACGAGGTATCTGTCACTCTGCGAACCAGTTCTTGTTGTGCACCGATCCCACAGCTACGGTAAGCACTTGGAGGTTTGCGACTGCTGTTTTGACCAGCGTGGAACTTGCACCGGTCTTTGGAGTTTCAATCTCGAGCTCTTTCAGGTTCAAAGGGGTCCGGATCTCCGAAACGCTCGGAAATTCTAGGGAAGGATTAGTGCCCATTCCACCGTTTGCATGACACTGCATCCGAAGCGGTCTGCTATACGGCACCTGTGCAGCCCAAATGACTTACTCTTGTCGTACTCCAAGAGCCTCCTAGAATCTTCGTTTGCGCTGCAGGCCATGGCTGCAGTGGAATACTCACGATCAACAGGCGTTATGGTTAATCCCACCGTCACGGATCTGAGCAATGCCATTTTGCGCGGAGATGCTCTCTGCTGTATGCGCCACCCTGCAGACGGCCAAGGCTTCAGGCACTTGAAGAGCTGCCTTCAGGCTCGAACGACGTTGGGGTTGCTTCTATTCTTTGCCATATTGGTGGTAGAACAGTGACAGGGACAAACCCAGGGCCTTTGTGCCTGTGGCCCTAACGATGCTTGCACACCAAGTTGTGCAGGACCACAGGTCTAGCCTTTCATTGTGTTGGTATGTCTGTGTATATACATAAACTGTATACATGTATATGAATACAATCTTTCATGTATGTCTGTATGTCGTGCTCGAGTTGTGTTTAAAGTTATCAGGCTGATAATTCTTACGTGATGTATGCTGATTATGAACATTGGGATGATTTTTCTCACTATATGCATGCAAAATCGGGGACGTCTCTGACAAACATCGTTGCTGCTTGCCAGTGTCAATGCCGCATCCGGTATTTCGGGCAGAGTGTCCATGACCGTCATTATCACTGTCTCTGGCGCAGAAACTCGCTCGAACTCTGACCCTCTACGGCGTGGAGATCAGCACTGCAGTGGCACGACTGAGAAACTCTCTGCCCCAACTCGGAAAACCGCTCCACAAACTCCAAAACGTACGGTCTGTAGTCAGCCTATCACTTCATCTAAGTTCCAGGATCCTCCAAGTTCACGTGCCAGAGCGCCTGCCACTGGGATGCCACAGCGCAGGCAGAGGTCGCAGCACTGCTGGTGAATGCCTTGAAGGGGATTAATACTTACGGATTAAATGATTATGCTTCAGATTAGAAACCGCAGCTCGGTGTGGGCTATCCGCAAGCAACCAGTTCAGAAATTAGGTGCAGCAGCTAGATTGCTAGCGAGGGTTACTGCCATTTGCGACGGTCTGCTGGATCCGATGCAACTGATCTCGGAAGCCATCCGAACATCACATGACCGGAAAGCTGACCCTATAATTCCGACCCAAAACCTTTTCACTCTCGAACCCTCTAACCCGACGAAGAAAGAAAACAAACACGCGCACAATCGGCCGTGACACTTTCAAATCTGTGACCCACCCGAGTCAAGAGCACAATTCTGAATCCACATCCGGTCAGTTCTGCATAGGGTCCGAGGCTGCGAGTTGTCGGGCGCCGAAACTTTGGAGCAAAGACAGAGGCCGGCGCCAGGCCTACGCGGAGCCACGTAAGCCGTGTTGGGCTGTCGTGTTTGGCTGTATAGGCTCATGGAGTTGATGATTTAATAAATTTCGCCGGGGGCCACAGATTCAGGCCTTATTGCTTCACTTGCGCCCCGTCGCCGCAAAGTGCTGCCACAAGACTGCGGGACGAGTTCGCCTCAGACACCGAAGTGAAGCCGACCCGGTCCCTTCAAAAAGGTCCTGATCTGCCGCGGCTGCGCTAATCCCAGAATTGAGTCCAATAACCTGGGGCCGAGTTTTGATCACAAGGGCATGCTTTTGAACAGCGACTATCACCATGACAGGGATCTGATGGCTATGAGTTTGCTTTTGATGTTCTCATGCACAACTATTATAGCACCCCAAATGTGACTTGTGTTTCGCCAGAGCCCACATTTGTGGCGATGTCAATGGTGTACAAATTACTATTGCATGGTCCACTGCCGCAACAACATCTACCACTACTTCTGTGACCACTGCTCTGAGTAGCCCGCATTGAGTTTGTAAACAAGTATACCCCGCAGTGCTGTCGGTATTTGCCAGCAAGAAGCCCAAAAACAGAGTTTTCGCTCTTAACAAGCGCTTCAGAGCCTTAGTAACCATTACAACCCCGCAAACTGGCAAACGGCAGTAGTAGCACAAGTGGTAGCGGTAGCAGTAGCAGTAGCAGTAGTAGTAGCAGTAGCAGTAGCAGTAGTAGTAGTAGTAGTAGTAGTAGTAGTAGTTGTTGTTGTTGCAGTAGTAGTAGTAGTAGTAGCAGCAGCAGCAGGAGTAGCAGTAGTAGTAGTAGTAGTAGTAGTAGTGGTAGTAGTAGTAGTAGTAGTAGTAGTAGTAGTAGTAGTAGTAGTAGTAGTAGTAGTAGTAGTAGTAGTAGTAGTACTAGCAGCAGCAGCAGTAGTACAGTAGCAATAGTAATAAGAACAAGAGTAACAACAAAAAGTTGGCACCATGACTGTATAGTAGTACTAGTATGATTCAGCAGTACTTGTACCAGTACGAGTACTTGTACTAGACCTCGTACTTGCACTAGCACTAGCAAGTAGCAGTAGCAGCAGTAGCGGTACGAGTAGCAGTAGTAGTGGTGGAATTAGTAGCAGCAGCAGCAGTAGTAGCAGTAGTAGTAGCCGTGGTAGTAATAGCAACAGCAGTAGCGGTTGCAGTAGCAGTAGTCGTCGTTGCAGGAGCAGGAGGGACGGGAGGAGGGCAGCAGCAGTAGCAGTGACAGCAGTAGTAAAGTAGCCAAGAAGTAGCAGCAACGGCGGCAGTATATCAGAAGCATGAGAAGCAGCAGCAACAGCACCAGCACCAGCACCGGCACCAGCACCATCCTGCTTGGAACCTGCGACTACTCCTCTCATCCTGAGGCCATAGATATCCCGAGCGGCGTCGGTCTGCAGGCTGTGCATCTGCACGAGGCGTTACATTCCAGATAGATTTGCTTATAGGGCCCAAAGCGAAACGAGCACGCTTGTGTGAACGGGGCCATGACAAACGGCAAACGCTTGATGGAGCAGCTTGGCGCAATACGGTCTTCGAAGCACGAATACGCACGATCAAGATTTCGCTTCCTTTCCAAGGATAACATGATACTCAGATCTCGCACGATGTACAATGCGCTAGCTTCCTTTGATTTCGGCTGACTGAGAGCATTTCTGTTGCCATGCTGTTGCCGTTTGCTGACGATAAGTCTGTGGATCAACGGAAAGTGCAAGCAAATCTCAACAGCTTCGAATTCAGACGGTGCAGCAAGAGCTAGAGGTACTGGTTCAGGGCAGTCCGAGTGTGTCCGAACTTGAACCCCCAAGTTGAGCCTCCAGGCTGCCAAGGAGGTCAACGGCGCGTGGCCAACGCAGTCGGGAGTTGCAAGCAATGATGGCGGTGTTGAAGCCTGAAGCTCTAAGGTAAGGCGTGCGTCACAGGAAAAAGATCGACGGCGGATTAAACAGCTCTCTGCTATCACCACTAGGCAAACACGACTTACCACTTGGGGCTTGCTGCTTGCAGCCGTCACTGCCTACTGTCGGGTTTGCATAGCCATAGACCAGTATCGTTTAGGAACAACCATGTTCAGTGAGCTGGACAGCAAAGGGCCCGTCGGGGGCGAGCCTTGGGCAGACAAGCCAGCCCAACCGCAAGTCTCGTGCCGCATGCTCATGGAGCCCTGGAGCACCGGGCACTGCACTGTGAACAAACGTAAACAAGGCAACAAGTATCATGTTCTCCACATCTCACAGTACGGCAGATTCAACCATTCTGGCCCGAAGAGCTCACCACGTCCGGCAACGGCGGGCGATGGAGGAGATGCAAAGTGTAAGGCCACCGCGAAGCCTTCCTGGTTTGGCCATCAGGTATCTTAATTCTATTTATCGCCTTTACTAAGCCTTGTTAGAAATGCCACGCCACCTCTGACAGCTTCGAAGATCACGAGCAGCTACCACTGTGCATACAAAGAACAGCCTAGCCCTGCTTCACACTTCTGCTTGCCGTAGTTCTGCCCGTCTGCCCTGGGGGATATGCATAAATAGTCCGCTTGCTTCTTGCGGTTCTGTTGGAACAAGTGCCAGGGCCCGTATGTACAATAACACAAACGGAATGACAGAGTCTTGCAGTCTTGGAAGGGTCATCGCGTCGGGCTTAAGAGCTTGCCCACGAGCTGCGGGCGTTGCCATGCACGCTCAGGCGACAAGCAGGTATACAGCTCCAGTAGCTTGGAAGAAGCTTGAAGATGCCGTCTACAAGCAGGATTGCTGCGTGACACCCTGTCGTCACACTCTGAAGGCCCCAAAGCCCAGGCACCTGCAGGCAGCCATGGCTGCATTCCGACGAAGAAGCTCCGCATCGGCCGATGTGCGAGCACTGTCCCTTGGATTGGATCACAGGGGCTTCCTCGTCACCAACATGTTAAATTGCGGGCTACTTGGTGCGAAAGAGGAAATGATTGAATCCTGGTCGTTCTGCAGCGAATTCTCGCACAAACGGCCGACACGCCCGAACTGAAGGTTGAAAGTCCAAACCTACCTCTGACACACCTCGAAGGGGGCACGTCTCAATGAATCCGGCTCTCTTAACATAACAAGCTCGAGCTAAGGAATCCACTATCTGCGACCCCGATGGCATTTATGAGCAAGGAAGAAATTGTAAGAACAGTCTGCAGGCTTCCGCGATCTCATGGCATGGGCTCAACGCAAGCAGGACCCCAATGCCTCCTTCGCCAAGTCCACGCACACCAAACCCTTGAGCCGGCATGCTCAGTTGGAATGCTCGGGGGAGCCTGTATGACCCGGACAGCAAAACAGAACCGGTTGATATCAGCAACACCGACCGTTGATGCACAGCAGCTGTAGCTCTCTCAGCGAAAGCTTCCAGATCGACGCAGGAGCCTTCAAGAAAAGTCATGCATGCGACCTTTCACCTCTGAGCTCATAAGTCCTGAATGCACACGTTCCGGGAAACCAATGAGGGCAGGGGTGCAGGTCATCCATCAAAAGTACAAAGCAAGGCTTCGCCGGCTACTATTTCAGAGGGCCAGGCCCACGTGGAAAAGCAGCCTTCGAGTCCTTTATATTGTGGAAAAACGAGGGTTTGTCACTCTGCGAGAGAATTTCAAAAACGGTGATAACATCCAGGACCCCTCCTCGGCTCGCCGGTGCTGCCGTGGCCGCCACTCGGTTCGGGGCACCGAGGGAGCAGCCGCCACTGCCCTGAAAGCAAAGCTGCATACGGAGTAGAGCCCTCCGGACGAAAACCAACCTCTCGTCTGTAGATAACAAGGAATACGTGCAGGGCTTGCCGAAGGACAGGTGAACTGCCTAACTGGGACTTACAACAAGAACGACAAGCGCACGCAGCCGGATCGAGCGGAAGCGCGACATTGGAACACGATCTGTCGATTTGGTCGTCGGTCCCTGGCATGAGGAAGTATCATGATCCCTACCAGGCTCACCTGGGCATAGTGGCGCCATGACGCGCCGCCGCCAGGTGCTCAGCAGCCTAGCCTTCACGAAAAGAACAGGGATTGGTTCGTAATCTTCTTTGTGTACACGGCTGTGTAAACACCGTAAACAACGGCGCTCGGGTTTTAGTCTTTGCATTCAAATTCAGAAGGCCGACTGTTACGGCTTAGTGTATGGCAACATTCGATTATGTAGCAGGATGCACAGATGCCTGTGCTGGACGGCTGTCTGTCTGTCTGTCTGTCTGTCTGTCTGTCTGTCTGTCTGTCTGTCTGTCTCTCTGTACGGTCAGCTGTGTCATCTTTATTTCGAGGCTTGTGGTTCGTCTTCCATAGTAAATTCCTTGCCTGGTTGTCATATTAGATCAGAAGGCGTTCCAAGTATCAGTACATCAGTACAACTACGATAGCTTTCGATCTTATGCTAGATAAAGAGAATTGTTACCGTACAAGGCACAATTTCGGTATATGTCGCAGCGGTTCGTTGAGCTGGGCGGTATATGACGAGACCGTCCGACCCCAGTCGATAAGACCAAACATCATGCGTAGCAGTTCTCCAAAGAAATAAAAAGATCCTGCAGAGCCGCATGCGCATGCTCATGCACATCATCATTTTGCAAACAGCTCTTTGATGCTCTTTGTCCGCGTGTGCTTTGCTGGTGATGATGATGACATGATGATGATGATGGTGATGATGATGATGATGTGGCGAGTTCAACCCGAATTACGCATGCTGCTACAGCCTTTGTCGGAACACGGATGGTGCGCTTAGGCTTCGATCTGTTCGATCCTGCCACTGACTGGCAACCATACCTTGATATGCCCTGTGAGATACTGCATGACGCGACTAGCCTCGGGTTGGGCCGGGTGCGCCAGGCACCGGCTGCCGGCAGCTTGCATGGCTCGACAGCAGGGGCCGGCAACCAGGACATGGCGCCCGGCTGTTGGATTTAAAGCCTCTATACAAGCTCCAGTGTTTTTGTCTTCAGATTTACCACAGAGCTAAGGCAGACTCGTCGAGCTCCAGGATGCCTAGAGCTTACCGAGTGCAGGGCCTTCAAGGATCTGAGTCTAAGGATATCGAGGCTGAAAGTCTCTGCTTGCTGTTCACTGTCCGAACAACGACTTCTTTGAGGGCCCTGGCCACTCTTGCATAATAGTCACCATTGTCACCACTACTTTTTTCACTGTTATAGCTACATCTATAGATAGCTCCATAATAGCACTGACACCGCCAGCAACGTTCCAAGTACTTCTGTCTGGATTCACTCCGCTCACACGTGCTTAAAACGCGACTTCCGAGCCGAAGAGGTGAGATTCCACTGATCCCTTGTCTTCCATGGTGTCGCATGGAAGTCAAATTGGGCAGATGTGCTGAAAGCACTTAAAGCCTGGCGAGAGCCAAGCTGTCGATATCGTGGAAAGGGTTATCAGGGATTCAGGAGTCAGAAGCATATGTCAGCAGCAAACTTGCATGGCTGAGCCCTGACGCTTAACAAGAAACGCCTGCGTGCATAAAGAGCCTTTGAAGTTTAATTTGGCAGAATATTGAAAACTGCTGCTGAAGAGATCGTCCTCTGCAAGACCCTCGAACATCGGGAAGACGTGCGGAAGGAAGTTGATAAGCTCCCACTTGTCTCCTGCTGTCTGCATGCAGGACAAAACCCTGAATGATGACGAACCCAGCCGCCTGTTGCAAACCAGCCGGATGTTCAGGTTGCATGCGAAGCTGGAAGCTCGACGAATTATCGTAAATCTTGGAAATGCGGAGAAGTTGACAGGTATGTCGGCATATGAAGGTTGCATAAAGCGCGGGTGAATTGTCCATATGTTCCCCTTATCGGGTATGATACGGATGACATCAAGCAACACTTGGTTGCAACATGTTGCAACTAGTGAGGCTCTTGCATGAGCAAGACACTTGGCTTGATCAAGTGTCTGAAAAACTAGAACCGAACACGAACACCAACCCGAAAACTCTGGACCATGCCCTCCAGCCGCTACAGAAGTTAACAAACTTCGTGGAAGCCCACGGTGCAGGTATGATCCTCTGCTGGAAGTTGCCCTTTCATCAAACGACTGATCGCCTCTAGCCTGGACCTCAGCTCCAGATGGACCTCGAACAGAAGGCTTTTAAAGCTTGAGCATCATCTGCAACCTAGCTTCCAGCTGTGTATGATCTGCAAGTTTTGCTGCAGCGAAGCTGCGACAATTGTGCACACAGACACACACACACACAGAGACTTTATCACCTCAACATCTCCAAGCCAACGTTGCACCCACGTCTCAATGCGAGCGGCGATGCCTGGGATAAGCTTCTGGTCCGGCGAGGACTTGATCAACTTGGGGTTGATCAGCTTCAGTGGTGCCTTGCATCAAGCTGTCAAGGTCGCATGCAAGGGTGCCCGGAGAATGCGTTGGGTCGTAGGCTTACTCTACAGTGCAGACCGTAGACCGCTAGGTTCATGATGAGGCGGTGTGGTGTCCGGTGCGGTGTGAAAGAACATGTTTCCGTGCAGCGTGCTGCAGATGTGCTGTGGTTCTCTGCAGGGTCACCCCAATATTTCTAGGTGGCAAGACGGAGCGCTCAGGAAAAAATGAAGCGCTGAATTTCACATTGAAGCTGAGCGTTGTATCGCACACCGTGCAACAGTACAACGAAACCCGTGCCAGTGCAAAACTTTAGGGCAAGGCACCTGGCTCTCCCTTGCTGTAGACAGCTTCTGCCGCTCGGCATTCAACTTCGTGGTGAGATGCTCCACAGCGCTGCGACCCTTGCACCAGCAACCCCTTCTTGGGTTGGAGGTATGTGGATTCCCCGACAAAACTTATTGGCTTCTTTGTTTGAGGATTCGGGGCCCACCAGGCCTACCTCAGCTGGAGGCTTTCCGACGCTCCACAACTTTATACAAAAAGTCAGCTGACTGACGATGCAAATGAACATTGTCAGCCTGACAAAAGACACTGGCTGCATCGTGCGCTACCTGTGGACTTCTGTTCTGCTTCTCCTTCTCACTATATTTCGTTGTTCTCGTGTCCGTCGAGGTTACGATAGTGTTGCCGCTGTCACTCCGCCTACCTGCTAGCACGCAAATCGGCGAATCAGAGTCATTATAAGGGTGCATGCAGCGAGCCTTAGAAAGCGAAACCACATGAGCTTGAGGCTTTAATCGCCCGTGAAGCCCCCGAAGACCGGCCTTCCAAAACAGCTCCAGCTGGTTTTCCTCGAGGGTGTCATGGCAATGGCGAGCCAGGGACACCTCAAGGGAACCGTTCGACGTCTTCCTGGTGTAACTGAATACGAACACAAGAAGGACTTCAGCTTTAGGGATAAAGGCCAAGACGCGGGTGGACAGGACATAGAGAAAAGTTGAACATCTCCCTGAACAAATAATGCAAACGCTGGTTTAGATGCTGGCAGGTGGGGTCTGGGGTGAGTGAACCAACGGAATCGCAACCTGCGTAGTGAATGACTTCTCTGAAGCAAACGCTGTTTTCCTGTCCTTACCTCCAACCAATCTGGATGGGGAACTAGTTGTGCAGGCTGCTGCAGCCGGTTGCTCGGGACAAAAGAGTGGCGGAAGTAGTTTCGCTTCGCAGCTTTGTGAGCTGCATCGAACTGATGTTCCTGTTTGTGTTTCACTTTAGAATCTAGAACACCGAGCGTGCAACAATCTTTTAAGAGCTGTCTGAGTCAGGGTAGGGTTCGACCTGCAGCAGTAGCCGCGGCCTCCACCACTCTTCCCCGCCCAGCATCTCGGGGGGCCTCCGCAAGCGTCATCGGCCCCCTCCGCGGGAGGTTCCAGAGGGGGCTTGAACTAGAGTCTGGACTATAAGTGGAAACGAAGGCCGAGACCGGCACGGACTGGTCCCGAAAGAAATGGGGAGCCTGAAACCCGCCGGAAGTGGCCCAAGTCTGGGTTATCAGCCCGGAAAGGGGGGTTTGGGCCAGAAGAGGGACGCAAAGTGGGTAATTGGAGAAGGGGAAGGACGAGAATGCACTCGCGGACGCGTAGAGGCGGGGGGCCCAGCTGAGCCGGACTCGAAACCGAGGCCTGGCATGTAATGGTAAGAATCGGGGTAGCGGCTACGGCTTCACGAGAATCGTACATTCTCGGAGCGAGACTATACGGCCTTGCGAGAAGCGGTGTCTGGAACGATGTGAGGAGCGATGCGTAATGCGAAATGAAAGAAGCGGAGCTACTGCCGTGCGCGGGTCGTTTACCCAGGTCCCCGATCTCGGAGCTAGAAGCGGGTCTGCAACGACTTGGGGAGCGCTGTGTGGTGGACGCGATGGAAGAAGCGGAGCTACGGCCGGGATTCAACAAACCGGGGAGAGAGAGGGAGTCTGGGACGACATGAGGGGCGCTGCTTGGTGGACGAAATGGAAAGAGGCGGAACTACGGCCTTACACGGGTCGTTTACCAAGACCCGCCACCTCGGGGTGGGAAGGGGGGTCTGGAACGACATAGGAGCTTCGTGGTGGACGATATGGAATGAAGCGGAGCTACGGCCTGACGCAGGTCGTTTGCCAAGACTAAGACCCGCCACCTCGGTGTGGGAAGGGGGGTCTGGGACGACATGAGGAGCTGCGTGGTGGACTAAACTAAATGGGAGGAAGCGGAACTACGGCCTAACGCGGGTCGTTTACCAAGACCCACCACCTCGGGGTGGCAAGGGGAGTCTGGAACGACATGAGCAGCTGCGTGGTGGCCGAAATGCAAAGAATCGGAGCTACGGCCTTGCGCGAGTCGTCTATACCAAGACCCGCCACCTCGGGGTGGGAAGGGGGTCTGGAACGACATGAGGAGCTGCGTGGTGGACGAAATGGAAAGAAGCGGAGCACGGCCTGACGTTTCCCAACACCTGCCACCTCAATTGGGAAGGGGGGTCTGGAACGACATGAGGACCTGCGTGGTGGACGAAACTGAACTACGGCCATACGCAGGTCGTTTACCAAGACCCGCCACCTCTGGGTGGGAAGGGGGGTCTGGAACGACATGAGGAGCTGCGTGGTGGACGAAATGGAAAGAAGCGGAGCTACGGCCTTACACGGGTCGTTTACCAAGACCCGCCACCTCGGGGTGGGAAGGGGGGTCTGGAACGACACGAGGAGCTGCGTGGTGGACAAAATGGAAAGAAGCCGAACTACGGCCCTACGCGGGTCGTTTACCAAGACCCGCCACCTCGGGGTGGGAAGGGGGGTCTGGAACGACATGACATGAGGAGCTGCGTGGTGGACCAAAATGGAAAGAAGCGGAGCTACGGCCTAACGCGGGTCGTTTACCAAGACCCGCCACCTCGGGTTGAGAAGAGGGGCTTGGAACGACAAGAAGAGCTGCGTGGTGGAGGAAACGGAAAGAAGCGGAACTACGGCCATACGCGGGTCGTTTACCAAGAGGAGCTGCGTGGTGGAGGAAGTGGAAAGAAGCGGAGCTACGGCCTGACGAGGGTCGTTTACCAAGGACCCGCCACCTCGGGGTTGAAGGGGGTTCTGGAACCACATAGGAGCTGCGTGGTGGACGAAATGGAAAGAACCGGAACTGCGGCCGTACGCGGGTCGTTTACTAAGACCCGCCACCTCCTGGGGTGGGAAGGGGGGTCTGGAACGACATGAGGAGCTGCGTGGTGGACGAAATGGAAAGAAGCGGGGCTACGGCCTTACACGGGTCGTTTACCAAGACCCGCCACCTCGGGGTGGGAAGGGGGGTCTGGAACGACACGAGAAGCGTGGTGGACGAAATGGAAAGAAGCCCAACTACGGCCATATGCGGGTCGTTTGCCAAGACCCGCCACCTCGGCGTGGGCAGGGTCGTCTGGATGAGGAGCTGCGTGGTGGACGAAATAGATAGAAGCGGAGCTACGGCCTTCCAAGACCCGCCACCTCGGGTTGAGAAGAGGGGACTGGAACGACATGAAGAGCTGCGTGGTGGAGGAAACGGAAAGAAGCGGAACTACGGCCATACGCGGGTCGTTTACCAAGACCCGCCACCTCGTGGGGTGGGAAGGGGGGTCTGGAACGAAAAGAGGAGCTGCATGGTAGACGAAATGGAAAGAAGCGGAGCTACGGCCATACGCGGGTCGTTTACCAAGACCCGCCACCTCGTGGGGTGGGAAGGGGGGTCTGGAACGACATGACATGAGCTGCATGGTAGACGAAATGGAAAGTAGCGGAGCTACGGCTACGGCCTTACGCGGGTCGTTTACCAAGACCCGCCACCTCGGGGTGGGAAGGGGGGTCTGGAACGACAAGAGGAGCTGCGTGGTGGACCAAATGGAAAGAAGCGGAGCTACGGCCTGACGAGGGTCGTTTACCAAGACCCGCCACCTCGGGGTGGGAAGGGGGTTCTGGAACGACATAGGAGCTGTGTGGTGGACGAAATGGAAAGAAGCGGAACTACGGCCATACGCGGGTCGTTTACCAAGACCCGCCACCTCGGGGTGGGAAGGGGCGTCTGGAACGACATGAGGAGCAGCTGCGTGGTGGACGAAATGGAATGAAGCGGAACTACGGCCATACGCAGGTCGTTTGCCCAGATCCCCGATGTCGAAGCGAGCGGGGTCTGGAACGACAGGGGGAGTCCTTAACTATCCGCTCTCAAAGAGCGCAAACACACGTCGAGGAAGAGGAGACAACGCTAGGAAACCTACAGAAGTCGGTTACCCAGAACCCTGTGTGTGACTGGAGGGGGTGACTTGGTAGGCACGCGTCGAGGAGGTGCCGAACCTAAGGGGCCTGTTACTAAAGAATCGGATGCCCAGACTCTCGAGAACGGCGAGAGGGGGCGACTGGGATGACACAGGATTCCACTCGAGGGAGTGGATGCGAAGGTGAGATAACGCAAACACTCGTCGAGGAAGTGGAGGCGAACCTAAGTAACCTACAGAGGTCGGTTGACCAGACCCCCGTGAGTCGGCGCGAGGGGGAGTGGGCTGCGCATGAGCATGTCAGGGAGCAGCGGTGATGAGGTCTCATACCGCCAAGGTGAGCGGTGAAGTTGTCCGGTGTAGGGCCCATGCTTGTGAGCAATGAGCCACACGTCCAACCCGTGGAGCGCGGAGAAGTGCCTGCGAAGCTCAGGTCGCAGCTGAAGTTGCGCAGTGAGGGAGGAAGGCCATCCGGTAGGCAATCGAGGCGGTCAACGAAGGCCCTTGCGACCAGCAGGTGATCATGTCCGCCAGCTCGGTGGTGATGCGAGGGAAGAGAGGCATACCGGATTGCGACAAAGGAGCGAAAGGCGGGGCAGAGGGCAGAAGCGGCTGCTGGATGTATGCAGGTACAGAATGAATACACGCGAGGAGGCCTGGAATTTAAGGAGCCAATGGAGGGGGCACTGTCACCCCGCCGCAGCTGACGATACAAGGTGTGGGTGCTCATCGGGCCTGAAAGGCAGCCCTTAGTGCCGCCCCGGGGGTCCACACACCTTAAGAGGAGGGGAATCGTCAGAAGGCTGCGACGGGCCCCGGGGTGTCTGAGTCAGCATAATCGGACTCAGCAATGTCGCTGCGAAGATGCAAACCACATTTCACATGAGCCAACCCAAGTGTTCCCTGTCAATGACCAGTGCTGGCACAGGACATGATTAGGATGTGCGCAATAGCTGGTAGTGGTCGGACAGATTACACACCAGGTTAAGATTTGTAGTGGCCACGATGGTGAACATTGGCAAAATACTGGTGACGATGATGAGCGGTGCTGTTGTACTTGGCAGCAGATCTATATTTTCTCGAATCTTAAAGCTCTAGCATGCTCTAGCAATCCGCAACTGAGGGCGGCGCAGCACAGAGAAAAGCAAACGGCAGTCGGTGTGGAGTGTCCAGGCAGCTCGCGAGAAATCTGAACACCTGACGTAGTTGGGATTGAAGTCTTTGGCTGAATAGCCTACGCTAGCATCTTGTAGGACATGCAAGCCCAATGACACATGTATATATGGATATATATATATATATATATATATATGAGTGAATATGTAAATATGTACATATGTAAACATGTGTATCTATATGCCTATATGTATATACACACATGCATGTATGCATGCATGCATACATGCATGCATGCGCGTATGTACGCATGTATGTGTATATGCATCTGTGAGTGTAAGTATATAAGGATATAAGTGTATAAGAACATAAGTACATAAAAATGTAAGCATTTAGGCTTATACGTATACATGTACATATGGAAAGATGTACATCTGCATACGTACACACCACCCGAGCTATCGCGCACAACCTCGTGCATTCATACCCTTCTCTCTCTCTCTCTGTCTCTCTCTCTCTCTCTCTGAGACTCTCTCTCTCGCTCTCTGTCTGTCACTCTGTCGCTCTTCTCCCTGCTGTCGCTCCCCTCTCTCGGCTCGCTCGTCTCTCCCTTTCTCTCACTCTCTCTTTCTTTGTTCCTTTCTGTGTTTCGCCAAGCACGAAGAGTTGTGGCCCTCCACCGCGGGCTTGTGTGCAGCCAACAGTGCGGGTTCGAATAGTTTACGCCACGCTCCCCATCAAAGGCTTGGACTCCCGTCTAAAAGAAGCACCTAACGCGAACACCTCGAAGGATCTTGCGCGCCTTTGCCGAGGAGAAATTGCCCGAAATCTTTTGAGGATGTGAGATGGCTGACTGACATACATGCCATCCAAGCTGCAGCATCAAAAGAAGCATAACAAGGAAGACCTGCATGATCAAAGGCATGTTTAACAGTGCTGCAGTGATTGTGGAGCGTTCCGCGACTCAGAACAAGGAATCGGCCGCCTTATGTACTCTTTCGGGCAGGGTGTCGTAAACTAGGAAACCCACCCCCAAAAAAATCAGAGGCAGTTGCGGCAGTCACTGGATGCTCCTATGTTTCCTTGAGCGGCGTCTCACTCTCAATCTCTCTGTCTATATCTCTCTCTCTGTCTCTCACTCTCTATCCTCTCTTTGCCTCGGTCTGTGTCCCTTTAATATATGTATATTATTTTTATGTGCATATTTATATTTATGTATGTTCATACACACAGATGCATACATGTATGCATGTACAAAAACATAATCACAAGCACCTGTGCGTATATACAGACATGTATCCGTTTATACATGATATAATAAACATGTGAGTGTATGTATGTATATATATATATAGACATACATAGACAGATAAACCTGCATGCACGCATACATACCATACCATGCCATTCACACCATACCATACGCAGAGACATACACAGATATGTACATGCATATGCACGCGTATTTGCATACGTGGCTACCTCCATACATATACAGCTGCATACTTTACATATCTACATACGTACAGACATGCATGCATACTTACATGCGCACAAAAACACACATATATATATATATATAGATACATGAATGAGTTTATACGTGTGTACATACATACATGCATGTATACACACATGTATCTTTGCTAACTAGCAAGCAAACAGGCCTTTACACGTAGTGCAACAGACAGGCCTGCACACACACACACACATAGGCACACGCAGGCAGACATAAATAGACATGTGTATATATATATATATATATATATATATATACATATATAGATATAGATACACACACAATACTTGCGCACATACATGTAGATTCTTCGGATGTATTGTGGGTGTGTGCACACCTGCATGCATATATCTTTGCATGCAGCCAAAGACACACGGTGGTCTAACCAGAAATACGCAAAAGACGAGGTCTATCTCGCCATCAGCAGACGCAAAATGCCTAGGTGCAAGTACCACGTTATCAGTAAACAGACAGACCTACGGATACCTCGACATGTAGGCATACATGTATGTATGCATGCATGTACGTATGCTTTTATGTATGTATGTATGTATGCATGCATGTCTGTGCGTTTGTATGCATGCACACATGCATGTGTATACATGCATATGTACATGTATGCAAGTCTCCGTGCATGCATGTCTGTTTATATATTTGTGTCCGAGTGTCTGTATGCAAACGGGTATGCATGTATCAATGTGTGCATACATGTAAGATATAGTATACTGCAGCAGAGTCTAATATAGCATAACATAGCACTGCTATAACGCAATAGAACGAAACGAGATATAAGTACTCATACGGACATGTTTGGATTCATATATGTGTTTACATATATGTATGTATACACAGCTATGTCGATGTACAAGCATATGCATAGATAGATATACATATCTGCATTTACACATACATGTACATATACATATACAGATAACTACAGATACACACACAAACACACACGCAAGCAACACTAATCGGTTTATTATGGCATCTTGAACCGACAGGCAGTCAGACAGACAGTCCTCAAACAAATCAGGGACAGCGCGATATGCAGGAACAAAGAGAGAAACACCAGCATAAAAGAGGATAGGGAGGTAAGGAAAGGGAACGGACGACGAGAGACAAACAAACATACATCAATGTGCATGCATATCAGTACACATGAAGATATACACAAAGAGAGAGAGAGAGAGAGAGAGAGAAAGCAAGAGAGCGAAAGCGACAGCAACAGAGTCTGAGGGAGAGACAGAGAGAGAGAGAGAGAGAGCGAGAGAGAGAGAGAGAGAGAGAGAGAGAGAGAAAAGAGCAAGAGAGAGAGAGAAAGAGAGAGACACACACACACACACAAACTGAAAAGGAAAGGATCGAGAGAGACCCCTGGGCGGGGGCGAACGCAGAGCATAATCTAATCTATGCGTACAAAAGAAGACGTAATGCAGACAGCTTTGGGGACATACTGACAAAACATTTATGGTCTGTCCCACCTGACACAAGGCTGCAGTGCCCAGAGCTTCAATGGCTGCTTCGCGATCATCCTGCAGAACCAGGGTTCACGGTTTCGGGTTCAGGCATCAGCGCGAATGAGATGAAACCATCGTAGCGCTGGGCCCGAGCTCACTTCGTTTACTCGCACTTTGGGTTTTCTGCCTTCTCAGACAGTCTACACCGACAAGACTGACTGAGTGGATCTATAGAATCATTGCATGGCTGCATATGCGCAAACACGCTGCGTAAAGCGTTCAGCAAAACAGAGCGATGACCCAACGGTAACGATGCAGACTCAGTCGACGGATCGCGACGGCAGTCCTTCTCCATGCAGTCGTCGTCCACTACCTGCAATCGGGCTTGCGTGTGGAGGCGAGGGGCCACAACGGAAGACGACCTGTGAGCGTCATTGGCGAATGCCTGCCAATGGCTGCAGGCATGATTCCTGAACAGCCTCTTGAGAGCCCAGAAACAAGGGTGTTCTAGACATGCCGGCCCCCACTCCCTCCCTGGCCACTGCTGGTCAGCCAGAGATCCGTGTCAAGGCAAGAAGTCTGTCACATGCCGTAGCATGTCTTGTTCCTAAATGGTGATGCTGCCGCCGTCAAACCCTTGCACGACAACTCCTAGATCTCCCCATCATCCAGGGGTCAAGGTTCTCGAGTTTCAGCGAATGAACAGGCCTCCTCCAGCGTAGCAGACTGCTCAGATGCGACAGCTAGAGCCTCTCGCTGGGCTTCGTCGGACTTTCACGATATCAAAACATCGTGTCGAGGATCTCTATAGTCAAGAAAAACGAGCAGAGCATCGTTGCTAACATGTCAACGTGGTGTCCTAGGGTTTGGGTTTGCGGTTGTAGTGGAATCACTAAGCCCACATTACACTCTTGAGGAACATCTGGCTTCTGTACGGGCTTCCGTGGTGCACTGATAGATGCTTCTTCGCGTGGTTGTCTGGCTTGTAGTGTCTCGGCGCAGAGGCACATTCACTCGCCGCATAATTTCGAGTGTGGAGGGCTCTCTGTCTGTATTTCGGGTGCTTCTAACCTGGCGTATCGCTACCCACACCAAGCCGTGGGGGCGGGCCCAAATTCACTGGCATTTTTTTGCAGTCAAGGTCTAGAATACGGCAGAAGCACACAACTATCAAGAATATAGTGGTGACTGCCCCGCTCCGAAGCCTTCGGGTTCGGGTCCGGGGGAGGCGGGGGAAGAAGCGGCAATTGGAAGCGTCACGGCGGTCGGCCTTGACAGCTTCGACGCAGACCTTCCAGACAGCTTGGGTGTGAAGCTGCTTCGACAAGACTCTTTAGAATTGGCCTGTGCGTCATGCGGGGTTCTCGGTTCGTGAGGCAATATATGAGAACCCTCATGTCTGCTAATACGACCAAACCCACAACACACAACAATCACCCCTATCTCTACTATCACAGTTACTATTGCAAGTGCTTGTACTGGGACTAGCACTAGTACTAGTACGACTAGACATAGTCCTGGTCGTAGTCCGTAGTAGTCGTCGCAGTAGTAGTAAAAGCTATAGTCGTAGTAGTAGTAGTAGTAGTAGTAGTAGTAGTAGTCGTAGTTGCTGTTGTCATTTATAGTAATAACAGTCGTAGTAGCAGCCGTAGAAGTAGTAGAAGTAGTAGTAGTAGTAGTAGTAGTCGTAGTTGCTGTTGTCATTTATAGTAATAACAGTCGTAGTAGCAGCCGTAGAAGTAGTAGAAGTAGTAGAAGTAGTAGTAGTAGTAGTAGTAGTAGTAGTAGTAGTAGTAGTAGTAGTAGTAGTAGTAGTAGTAGTACTAGTAGTAGCAGTAGTAGTAGTAGTGGTAGTAGGAGCAGCAGCAGCAGCAGCAGCAGCAGCAGCAGCATCAGTCGTCGTAGCAGTCGTCGTAGCAGCAGTAGTAGTTGTTGTTGTTGTTGTCACAGCAGTTGTAGCAGCTGTTAATGGTATCTTCCTTTGACGACGACGGCCGCGAAGACAACGAAGGCAACGCGGTAATAAGCACCGGAAAGCAACACCCAGATCCAATCACTCCAAAAAGGTGTGATGAGCTTAGCGTGCCTGGGTCACACATGGCTGGTACAACCAGCTCAGCTTGGCGATTGCCTGTCGCATCGTGCGACACTGGTGGAAGTACATGCAGTCTACTGTCCGCGAGAGGGTCTCAAGGTGTGAGCAAGCTGAGCTCTGCCGCCATAAACAGCCAATCGCACCGCATGTTTAAGATGTCGTTGGAGGATGTTGGGGGAAGTGAGATTGGTGGCAAGTGTGATTTCTCAGATACCCACGAGTCGGTGTCATGCTGGCCGGTTCCAACCTCCGCCGACTCAAGAAGTAGGGCCAAAGGTCTGACCTTGGCCACGCAACACCGGCTTCACAGCCTCTGGGGAAAGTACATCACATGCCCTGTCATTGAATGATGATGAGCAATGCAGCATAAAAAGGGGCTTGACAAACGCCGGTGCGCGTGTACGAATTCGTACAGCAGACTGTGTCATCGGGAGAGTCCAAGACGATGTGCAGGCCTGTGCCATGAAGTCTTGCATGAGCATCAACGACGAACCAGCGTTGCTTGGCAGCTGCAGGGCATCGCGGTCCAAATTGAAGCTGGGAGGCCAGCACTGGCACTGCTGCACATGTATGCAAACATGCTTATACGCATGTACACATACAAACAAGCATACAAACATACCGAAATACATACATGAAAACATGCATACATACATATACAGATAAGTAGATAGACGTATAATGACGAGAAACATGATATGACACGTTATAATACAAGATCGCATAACATAGCATAACATAATACACATGATACAGTGTGAGTACAATTCAATGCAGCTTAACATGCAATTATACTATACTGTATATAAACACATAACATATAGTAAGAACAAGCCACATGACATACATAGCACGCACACATACACGCATGCATGCATAACGCATACGTGCATAAACACATACACACAAACATGCAGGTGTGCATGTATACATGCATACATACACACATGCATGCAAACCTACATACAGGCATACGAAGATGCAGGCATACACACACAGAGCCAAACATGTAAACACAAAAATACATACTGTACATATAATACTTACTTACTTGCATACACACATACATGTTTACATATCAACATGCATACTTACTTGCTTACTTACTTACCCACTCACTTACTGACTTCCTGACTTACCTACCTGTGTGCAAACGCATACAGACATACATACATCTGTACGCATACATGCCATGCACTTTCCACCGTAGCCTAAACAGGGAACATGCTCACACAAAGACACTGACCATGAGTCTGCATTCCGATGGCCTGAGCGGATGTTAAGTTGGAGCTGGACAACAGGTACAAACACATGACTCACACTATTGCTCTCATCAGGCGTCAACACACTGACAGAACCGGTTCAGCTCGGACTACCGTCAATATGCGGATGTGGCTGGTTCCGGCAAGTCACCAGGCGACTGAGGCGCTGGAGAGAAGACTTCGCTTCCTGTGAATCGTAGCTGCGACCGACGGTTCCACAACTATAAACCCCAAACCCTTACGACCGCCCACCCCCCAAGCTTAGAAGCCAACAATCTGCTGAACAGCTATACATGGAATCAGCTATGGTGAACGCCATGGTGAACTGGACGACACTGGTGCAATTGCAAGTGGCATAAAGCCCCAGCTGAAGGCATCGACTTTACTAGCTTAGTAACAAGAAGTCTGGATCACAAGCTGCCTAGCAAAAAAAAAGATTCCTCCGACAGTAAGCATTTGCAAGAGTCAAGGCTCTAAAGCCTACTAGTTTGAGAACACATACAGCACCAGGAAGGATCTTCACGAAGTCAGGAGGCCTATCTCAGCTTGACCAAACGGAAAATTTCCAGGCCCGGACGGAATTTGGGTCGAAATCGCCAGAAAACAGCTGCAGACTACGACCAAGACGTGCGTTCGAGTATTGGCATGTAATTTGGAAAGTAGTGTCGCGACCATAAATCTCAACCATACCCCAAATCCCCCCAATGTACAGCGAGAGCATCACATGAGAAACTCCGTCGGCGGAGGCATGGTACTCTGGATTTCCTATTGAAGTGCTTAAGTGACATCCGCCACTTGTTCAGAGTACTGTGGATTTCTTATGGTGCCCTTGCTTATGCCTCCTACCGTCCAGGCACCGTTTTTGGCCAGACCGTCCCAGGGAGATCATAGTTTCTGGCCGGACCGTCGTAAGTGTGCGAGCCCAAAGAGCCTTCAGCGCCGCAGCATGACGGGATCGAACAGCCTTGAGTACTGCAGGCTCCAGGGATTTTGACGCTATGGATTCGTGCCCCAGCAATACCTGTGCGAGGGTCTTGGGGTCTACGCCGTACTGAGGCCATATGGGGCGAAACTAATTGCCGATGTTCTGTCTCAGTTCAGGCTGAGGTATCCGTCATCATTTCTGGCTTCCAACAGAGGATAACGCATGTAAAATACCGCCCTGAAGTTTGGCTTGAGACTTGAGCGACCTCACACTTCCACTCTGAAAAATCCAAACTGCTGTGGCCCGGCTGCCAACAGCACAGATTTCCGTCTCGTCTTCAGGATGAAGCATCGTGGGCCAAACGCACAAGGCGTAAGACCCTAGCAGTGTAGCAATGTCCAGCGTTGCAAGAGGCCTAAACCCCACTCCCGCTACGCTGACGCAGCATCATTGTGGGATGCTCGGATCTAGCATGCAGATTGCAGAACAGCTCTGGGAAAGACCCTGGGAGGACAAAACGCTTTGCGGCCAGGTGGCATCGAACTTGTTCCTTACAGTATGCAGAAGAGAAAGCACTGTCGTAAACTTGTGTACACCTGCAATATTGCAGGCTGGTATCAGTATCCGTTTAGCCAAGCGTCCGTGCCTCTTCCATAGCCGTAAGGCCCAAGACTACGGCGTCTCCAGAGAGGATGGACCTGAGCGGCTCTGCCAGGCCGGTAGTTGATGGAGGTCCTTTGGGTCCCAACCGCCGTTCACATGCTCACTTCCGAGCGCAGGAGAGGAGGGAGCAATTGAGTCTGGGTATTATAGAATTATAGTATTATGGTATTATGGCATTTGCTACCAGGATGCATGGAGATCCAAGGAGCAGCCCAAGAACCGGTGACGGTGTTACAGCGTGTTTGCAGTGGCTCAGCGCGTGGTAGCTTTCCGGCAATTAGGGTTTAGGGTTTAGGGTTTAGGGGTGCAGGAGGAAAACAGGGTAGCCTGGTGCTACGCAATGGGATTCGGGAACACAGGATTCGAAGTGATGAGGCCCCATCCCCTTGTGCTCGGACAGGGTCTTCAACAGCTGCTCCTGAGCACGGAAAGACATCGACTTGACTGCTGCAAGCCCGTAGTGGCGAATCTGCTCCCGACTTCCGTCCGGTGGTCACAGTCTTCCTATGTCAAGATCCTCCTGTTTGCTAATTGTGCATGTCCCGCATTGCTCAAAGATACAGACCGACCCAGGGCTGAGTTTGCAAAGCAGTCTCATCCCAACAGACAGCTTGGAATGTATCTCTCGCAATTGCAGATTCAGGGACTCTTCCTGTGGGCAGCCTGTGCTGCCTCACGTCCAGGTCCGATTTAAGTAAAGACCCAACAACAAGTTTGCCATAATTTTCAAACCAAGGGAGTCATGCACTTCGTCTTCATACTCGTGTCATAGAGACAAGACCAAATTCGAGACCGCTGCCTCAAATCTCAACTGGAAATGCTTAAATGCTGCACCACTTTCCGGAAGTGTCCTCTTGAAACATGACGGCTTCGGTTTTAGCCCATGCTTGATCAAAAGAGCCCATCATTCATTTTGGCAATCACCCGGGCCTAAACCCTAAACCTGAACTCTTGCATCGCCTCGGCTTTCCGCATGTTCGCTTCATCCCAGGGTCTTGCTTGGTAAAGCCTCTGCAACCTCAGGAAGTGCTCATCATCTGGCACCCACTCGAACTAGAACCAGAACTACTACTACTACTACTACTACTACTACTACTACTACTACTACTTCTACCACCACCACGACGACTCTGCTACTGCTACTACTACTACTACTACTACTACTACTACTACTACTACTCCTACTGCTACTGCTACTGCTACTGCTACTGCTACTGCTACTACTACTACTACTACTACTACTACTACTACTACTACTACTACGACTACGACTACGACTACGACTACTACTGCTACTGCTACTACTACTACTACTACGACTGCTACTACTACTACTACTACTACTACTACTACTACTACTACTACTACTACTACTACTACTTTTACTACAACTACAGTACTACAACTAGCACTGCCACTGCCTGTACCACTGCTGCCCTGGACCTGACACGGCTTGCAACCAACTTCGGGAGGCGACCGCGACAACATGCTGCCTGCTCCGAGAGCACCACTGCATCCCGAATCTCCGTTAGTGTCTGAAAACTGTTTCTGGTGCTAGGGTAGAACAAGAACATGTCGTACCTGCGATCTTTGGATGGTGAGTGGAACTCTGCAGCGGTTGAGCTCCATCAAGTTGAACTGAATTCCCCAAAACAATGATTGGCGCTTGTGGTTCGGTGCGTGGCTCAAGCTGACAACCTCGAGCCTGAAACTACCTTGATATTTGCATGCTGCAGCTGCAGTGAATGCCAGACCCCACATTCCAGCACAGCTGTATTGTGGAAGCTCTCGAACCGAACATCCAGTAACTGAAGAATACAAACCGACAGGCGCACGAGCCGACAACCAATGTATACCGACTGCGAAGATCCCAACAGATCCTATGATAATCCCAAATCGCCAGACCAGAGCTCCTGGCTCTTGGTGCAGGCTCGGCACCTCCGGTGGTGTGCTCTTTCGTGTAGATCTGTAGAATGATGCAGGTGCTCTTGGATGAATACATGACTGTAGCAAAAGTACGCATGCTGCGGGGCTGCACACCGCGCAGGATGTAATCGTTCAAACCAGCAGAGACTGCTGGTCCGTGCAACAGGCGCAGCACAGGTCCCTTGAGCGCGGAGGTATGGTACATCAGAAGGTGCTGCATTGCCCGGACCCCGGAAGCCCAAGCCAAGCGCATGCAGCACAATATCATACAGAAGAGGAGCCCTGATAACAATGCCACATGTTTCAGGGAAAGCTACGGCCGCAAATCCAACGCATACAAGAGCGCAGTAGCATGCAATGCATGCAGTGCCTAAAGTTGGCCATAAAGCAGAACATCAATGAGCCATGCGCGAGCGAATCCTCACGTAAACCTTTGTGCTGCAACAGAAAACACAAATACATTGAACAAGCTGAACGAATGAGCGAATGAACGCGCGAGCGAGCAAGCAAGCAAGCAAGCAAGCAAGCAAGCAGGAGAGGAAGGAAGCAGGCCAGCCAACCAGCCAGCCAACGCACATGCGCACACAGGCACACATACACAAACACACTTGCAAAAACACATACATGCACAGATACGACCAAACATACAGACACTCAGATACACACACGCGCACACACACACACACGCACACACACGCACGCACCCACACACACACACACACACGCGCGCGCACACACACACACACACACACACACACACACACCCACACACACACGCGTGCCCGCATCAAACTCCTGATTCCATGAGCTGTCGGATGCGCTCCAGCAGTCTCGACTGGTCCCGTCCCCTTCTTCTTGGGTGGTTACCCTGTCCGACCTCGGCACGCACGATCCCGTCCAGGAGGCGCTGTGTCAGCCCGTCGCGAGTCAATGTCTGGCAAGAAGGCTAAGGGTCAAACGGCCAAAGATGCAGCACAGGCTGCGAGAGACCGAGTGATACTTGCGAAGGTGTCAAGCGGCTCGCAAACTGGGGGATGTCGAGGTGCTGTTATATCCAATGGCCGGGATATTGAGAGATGTTCATGTCCCGAAACTGGGCATGATGACCTGTGGGCTTAACGCCGGGTTCACTTGTTCGGAGCCTTACGACTCCGACCGAATCGAGGGCCGATCTACGTGTGCCGCCTGTTCCTGGAGTTGAGACTTTGCAAAGCTTCGGCGTTGAGAGTTATGTGTTGCTGGAACTCGAGCCTTTGCAATACCACAGGAAGCAAAGATCCCCAAACAAGCCAGAAAAGCACGGGGCAACACATGCCCGGGTGACACAATTGACAACCGAGCAGGTTGCAAGCGTTATCGGAGGTAGATCTGCCGGAGACGAAAGCCTGACACGACGAAGCAAGAACTAGCACGCTGGTCTTCAGAAGTGTCGCTGCTTGTATGTCGATAGCCTCTCAAGGCTCCGATGTGCCCACTGGCAGCTTGAAAGGCCCAGCTCACAAGAAACTGCGGGCATCATGAAGTTCTGAATCCTCGAAAGGCTCTGCAGCTTCCAGGCATCCGGAACCGCCGAGGTCCGCACATGGAGATCAGGTAGATGTTGGTTGCTGACGGTCCCGAAGGAGTAGCCTGGGAAGAGGTTGTTGTCAAATGGATTCGGGGCCTCACGTACTTGGATTCTGCTACAGCTTCCTGGAGTGGGCGTTGATCATGCGGTATCTGAGGGGATGATGTGAGCAGCTTTCTCAGCGAGCTAAAACTGCAGCACTGGAAAGCCTGGAAGTGCACCGAATCTGACAACCAAGGCATACCTCGGTTCGGGTGCCAAGCTAGTTTCATCACACTGGCACTGCTGGGTGCTCGACACTGGTCGAGGGCATCAAAGAGCTCATCTGGCCGGCCAAATCATTTCTGAAGGTTCTAACCATCTAGCATAGCTTGAAGTTTCACAGTCCTCGAACGGAGCCCTGCTCAGTTTTGTCTGTTCAGGACTTGTTGGTCCACCAATCTTTCGACCAAATGTGACTAAATGATAAATAAGTCTCATTCTTGCGGAGAGGCAAGAGAAAGCCCACCGGCAAATGAAGCGTACAACACCTGATATGGACAATCAGCGACTTGATTCTGCTGCAGCCTCGCATTTGATGGCTCCATCTTCAATGACGGAGTTGCGGGTCACAGGGTTGCCAACAGCTTCGAGCGACACTTCTTTTACATATCGCAGAGGCTTGCTCAGGCGTAAAAACGTATGTTGAAATTGTCCCGCTGAGCGACTCTGGTAGAGTGCACACAAAATGCTGACATGATCCACTCACCTGGTACAGTTTGTCGATGCAATCAGCCGCCGCTGAACACGCTCGCCCACAAAAAACACACACACACACACACAAAGAGAGAGAGAGAGAGAAAGAAGGACAACAATGTTTCAACCCAGCATCCTTTTTATCCTCAACCTCTTTCGTCGCCTTGCGTGCTTCTGGGCTCTTATTAGGACTGTCTAAGCAACACCCCGGGCCTTGCCTTGCGCTGCGACATGCGTCGAAAGCCCTTGACAGGGCCGGTGGTAGGCTCGGCAGGAGCGGCGACCTGCTGAAGGATTTTGCATGTAAAGCGGGCAGGGATTCCACGCCGCAGTTGGCTGCTACCTCCCAGGAACATACAATTCGATCGGTTCTTCTTCAAAAATGATGCGGCAAACCGAAAGCGCGTTCGGATCAATTCCTGTCCTGCTGCTTGGATGAAAACCATGGCTCTGGCAATTTGTGAAGAACATGCGTTCATCCCTTCTGTCGGTTTGACACAACGATGAACAAATCCCAGATCGAGGGAAGCATTCCCAAACAAAGTTTTCAAGAATCGTCCAAAGTACCGCTGTCCGTCGAACGAACGATCAACACCCCAAGCGAATTGTCACACGTTGCCCCGGCTGAGCAATCTAGGATTTGAGAATCCATCTGCTTTGGGAGTATGTAACGTTGTCGGAAACGCGAGCCTCCTCCAGATCCGCAACGAGTGAGCCTGGAAGATCTGGCGAATCGCTTGAGGCCAATACCGGACATTTCACATTTCAGCAACGTGCTTCGCTGAAGTGTTGCGGCTTCCCTGTCATGGCCTCTCTAATTCATGATCGACGTGACTTGCCCTCGTTTGCTTGATTGTCCAATTTCGGCTTTGGTCGCATGTGTGCCGTTTCTGCTGACATGAGGACGCTGCAAAGGCAGCAGCGCAATCCATAAACTCTTTACAGTCATTGGCTAATCTTAGCAGGAAAAACTGAGACTGCATGCTAGAGCCGAAACACTCCTCATACTCCTCTAAAGGTCTGAGGCTAGCGACTAGCACATCTGAAGCCGCAACAGAAACCCAGTACTTGTGCCCGCTTGGCTTATCCCGTTTACAGTAGCAACAAAACATTTAAGCCCTGTAAGCCCTGAACTACTCTCTCAACCCACAGACCCTGTACCCTGTAGACCGTATATTATATAGCCTATATACTCTTTCGGAGTCCTTTGCTCGGGCGTGGCTTCCTCGGCAGGGGAGTCGGAGGTGCAGCACCGCAGCCTCCCGAACTGAAGCTCAAACTTCGGTTCTGCACTGAAATGTGGCTGTCTGGGCGGGTAGCGTTTTGGAGTCCTGTGCCTCGCCTAATGTCGATCCAGCTTGGATCGAGGGCTGGCGGCATACATACGTTCCACATCCCGCATGCTCTTCGTAGCATCACGACACATCTGGTGGACTTGAGGAGAAAGAGAACATCGCAAATGCAGCCGGCCTGTAATGACGATTTTGCACCTCGACAGTGAGGCGACATCAGCGCAAGAAAACTGACTGTTCGACGGGCGCAGGATTGAGAATGCTGCCCAACTTTCGTGCAAGAACCAGGCTACCTGCGCCTGGGCCTGCAAAAGGGAAGCTCCTTAGGAAGCTGAGCCTTTGACACTGGAACCTTAAAAGCCAAACTCTGGGCAAACATCCGAGCCGGTTCATGTGAATGCTAATGCCAAACACACGCCTTCACGAGAAAAACTGGCGTTACGGCTTTGGTTTGGAGTTTGCCTGGTCTCTGAGGATCACACGGCGAGGCACATGCATGCGCTGCTTTCTGACCCAGGCTTCTTTCCGCGGTCTATACGCTATACATACATCTAGACCTATAATTACATACATACATACATGCATACATACATATATCCGTAATACATAAATACACAAACACACACGCCAACACACACACACACACACACACACAAACCCACATACACGAACCATCAAACAAGCAAGCAGGCAACCAACCACAAACGAGCGACCAAACAAACAAACAAGCACACACATACATTCCTACATACATGCAAAGAAGTAAACCAGCGCGCGCACACACAGAGAGGCATCACCCAGTACCCTTTTTCGGTTGTGAGCTGTGCATGTTGCGCTGTTGAGACTGTCACTACATTCACTGATGGTGTTCTTCTTCTGCATCACGAAAATTGACCGCTCCTACAAACAAAGCAAATGAAGCCGAGGCCTAGATTCCTAGATGCCCTCGGTTCTGGCTGCTATGCTCCTGTAGACTGCTAGGCTAAGCTTTGGATTCTGCGCAGATCCCGAAGCTAGTGCGAAGCTTTCATTCACTTTCACAGCTCGAAACCCTGGCACTGAACCTTGGGCCCTGAACTTTAGGCTGCTCAACCCTGAACTGCGCAGCTTCTGCGAGGCCGGTGCTCGGCGCAGATAGCACGCTCAATTTTCTGACAGATTTCCGGATCTGAAGCCTGCCGGACTAGAGTGATTTTTTGAAGGGATGATGGCAGAACTGGCACTCCAAGGAGTTCTCTCATGGACTAAGAGCATAGGATTCGGGGTTGAACCACTTCGAGTCGGTAAAAGATTGTACTGGGTTCAGTGTTGGGGTGGGGGCTTTGAATTGGGAGGGATGGCAAATGAAAGCTGATGCAGAAGGCATCTTGTCTCTTGGTTAGTAGGGAATGGAGGAATGGGACACAGTTGTAACTACTATTACTACCCTTCTTCCATTCCCTACTGACCAACGGTGAGTTTACAGTAGCCGCCGGAAAGTTGGAAGGCAGCAATTGGAACGGTTGGTGCGGCAACGGCATCTTCCAACTTTAGGTTTGATTCGGTCCTATCTTCCAACTTTAGGTCCTGGCGTTTGGACCGGTTGATGCGGTAGCGGTATCTTCCAACTTTCGGTTTGTGGGAAGCAGCTCCAGTAATGCAGAGAGAGAAACCGCAATTACTACGACCGCTCCAGTAGTGCTGAGAGAAGGAAACGGCACTTGCTACGACCACTCCAATATTGCAGGGAGAGAGAAACTGCAAGTACTACGATCGCTCCAGTATTGCAGAAAGAGAGAAACTGCAATTACTACGACCGCTCCAGTATTGCAGAGAGAGAGAGAGAGAGAGAAAAAAACTGCAAGTATTACGACCACTCCAGTATTGCAAGGAGAGAAAAGCTGCAAATACTACGACCGCTCCAGTATCGCACAGAGAGAAAAACTGCAAATACTACGACCACGCCAATATTGCAGCCAGAGAAAACTGCAATTCCCAGCACCGCTCCAGTGTTGCACAATTACTACGACCGCTCATGTATTGCAGAAAGAGGGAAGCTGCAAATACCATGGCCGCTCCAGTATTGCAGAGGGAGAAAAACTGCAATTTTTCTCCAGTATTGTAGAGAAAGACGGAGAAACTGGGTCTGACTTCCCATCTTCCAACTTTAGTTCCCGGCATTTGGAGCGGTTCATGCGGTAATCAAAAGTTGGCAGGTTACAAACTTGGAAGAATCCAAAGATGGAAGATGTGTTTTATTCCAATTGTGGGGTGCTGAAATTTTGGGTGCGCATCTTCCAACTTTGCGGCTGCCACCATAGATTAGTTACTCGGCCGCTGCAGCGAACATTAAACTCATTTTAAGCTGCACTTCATCGGCAGCTTCGAAGCCCGAAAAGGAGGCCTCTGAATGCTTGCCCTCGAAAATGATCCTGAACCGCAAGAACAGCGTTTGTTCCAATACCCGTAGCAACAGAGCAGGTACCGTCTACGTTTACAACGACACCCTCAAGAGGATAAGTAGAGAAACGGAAACAGCAAATCAAGTTTGAACAGGGAGCCAATGCACACGCTCTACCGAGCCTTAGTGATGAAGACCTGGGATGCCGTCGCAAGCTCCCGGAGGAGCCATGCATGCGCTTGCTGGTGCGGGTCCTGCCGCTTGGCCGAATTACCGGGGCCGGGCCTGGGCCGTCTGGGTTTTGAGAGATTTGGTGTTAGAGCCATGAGCCCATGCAGGGTAGGGAGTCTACATTTTGGTGCAGGATGACCGCATAGCAAGTTGATCTGCCAGTAGACCATAACAGACCGTGCATTTGTATCTTCAGCAGGCCGTGTTTCGCTTTCGGCTTGCGGGGTGTGTTGAACCTCTGCCGATGCAACAAACCACGACTCGAGGTATGAGCAGAACGCACAACAAGCCTGACCAGTACGGTGAATTCACATCCCGCCCAGCAGAGCCAAAAGCAGTCCAGAAAGAACGGCCAATTCCAAACCACCTGGGAGCTGAGAATTTGTGTTTATATAGCTTGAAGATCGGTGCTGTGCCCGGGTGTAGATTGCTTGCAGCATTTTGCTTCAGACCATCATGGGGTGTGCGCGCTGGAAACGACTGGGCACATCTGCAGGCGAGGTCCAGCTTCTCGGATCACTGTTAGTGAATTTGAAGCAACAGAATCGGCGGAGTTCACATCTGGGAACAACGACGTTAAGAGTAGTAGCAACTATTACGATTTGAAAATACTGTGCCGCCAGTGTCGCAGTGCAGCCGCAAACGGTTGATAGGGAAGAAGCCCTTGTCAATAGCTACAGCCCGGTGCCTATGGGCAATTGATAACTGTCTTATGCATCGTGTGGGAAAACAACAAAGTGCTAAACAGCTGGTGCTAAAACAATAGCTAATCAATACTGCGACCCGTAGCGGCTCTATAAAGCAAGGCCTGAAAGGAGAACATGCAAAACCAACCATGAGAGTAGGAGCATCGGTACAGGATGAGCCAGGAAAGCAGCAGCAGGTGCAACAGCCGGTGATTTTTAAAGGCAGAACAATGCTCACCAGTCTCGCTAGCCCCGAAGTTCTCCAAGCACTAACGTTCAGTCTGAAAAGCTCGAAGCCGACACCTTCCTCAGCCAGAAATCGCCAAAACTCCTACAAGCTGAAAACAAAGACCTACACACAAGAGAGTCCCAACCGCCTACACCAAAACCCACACGCGGAACCCTGCACCTCCAGAGTCGAGCTGTGCGACCGAAACCTCCGAAATCTCAGTAACCTGAAACCCCCCAAGACCGCGATTCACAAAAGCCTTCAACGAACGTCCTCGACGGCGAATCCTGAACCGTGTGCGCAAGTGAAGCCTGCTACGCCTGAAGCCAAGCGCAATGTCTAAACCGTTCCTAAACCCTAAACCCTAACCCTAAACCATAACTCTAAACCCTAAACCCTGCAATCTTTCAGCGCTAAACCTTGGAACCTCCAAAGCCGCGTCCCGCCTTCGCAAGCCCGGAACTTTCGCGACTTTCAGGGCAGCCTGGAAGGCCTGCTCCAGGGCTATCTAGAGGTCTAACTTATAGCCTAAAGAGAGACTAAATCTAAGTCTGCCTATTTATATAGTCTCTTTTACATATAGACTCTACAGCAGGGGATCTGTTTCTTGGCTCAATTATGGGTCACGAGTCTACGAGCGGCTTGTCTGCGAGGCAGTTTTTGAGGAAACTTCGGTTTTGGCCCTTCGCTATGATCCCGTTGCTGAATTCGTTCGGTCATGTGGCGCTGCCCTTCAACACAGGGAAAGGTATGATACTCAGCACGGAAGCATCATCATCTGTTCAGATCAGGATGCGAGGACACCACAACATCATCTTCATACGATTTCGCAGGCTCACGTCCCTGCCATGCTGCACCCCCCACCAACCAAACATGCTCAACTTCCATCTTTGGACCAATCTTAAACCCTGGCCATTTACTAAAAGTAGACCCTGTGTACCGACGTGAGCCGGCCTCGGTGAATCCAGTTGCGAAACACCGCCTCTGTGCTCACGAGCATGCAGATGCAATCTTTTTTGTTCAGCTGTTCGGAGCCATGTTCCCACAGAACTGAGGTGATTATCGGCTTCACACGCTACTTGGTTATACAAGCTTTGGACACACCTACGGGTCTACGAGACTTGGCGATCCCCATTACATTGGGAGGCGAGGTTGGAGTAAGAGCTGGCACTGGGCTGCAGCGGCTGCAAATCAGGGCTTTCAAACATCGGCGACTGTGCTTACTTGAAGCATGACAGCCACTAGCAATCAAAGACTCGGAGACAACAGAGAATACCGTCGGCCTCTGTTGCCAGCTCTGCAGCGAAGCAGGTCCGTTCGAGAGGCAGCTTCCTCAAGCCAGTCGTCACAACTATGATTCAGGACAACAAACCGTGCTCGGTGGCGGCCCTGACATCCTCAGCTCCTGCTAGGACCTAACTATGCTGAGATAACAGCGAACAGAAGCTCAGAACGAATAAAAACGGACAAAATGAAACAAACATCGAAACTCTCCTGGCACGTTAAGGCCCTGAAATCCCAGACTTTGGAGCCCCTGTTCCTGTAGAACCCTTGCTACCTATCCAAGGCACCGCCCCGCAAGGTGGTCCATCAGCCTGCCGTATGAGATTTCGGGAAAAGAAATTAAGTTGCAGGGTTTGCAAGTGCGCTGAGTGCACCCTTTCAAGTTGCAAACATCTGGAGTGCAGCTGGAGGCTCGGAGCCTCCAACCCGAAACTATCCGCTCCATGCAAGATCTAAAGGTTCAGTTTAGGTTTGCTCGCTGCTGCTCGACAAGAGTAGGGAACCCCTTCTTCAAGGGTCCCAGTGGCAAAAGCAAGCTGCTTACAGTCTGTATACTTACCCGTTCACTGTGAACTGGGCGCATCTCCCGACTGGACAGAAGTGCACGTCCATATTCCTGCAACGCCTTAGGTTTGCTCATCCTCGGAATTCAACGTGACCTGGGTGAGCATGGAATCGAGGGAGCAATGAAAGGCCAGAACTTACTCTGTCTCATCCTTTGGGGAAGTGCTGAACAAACATGTTGACCTAGTCCGAAACCAGAGCTTGCTGGAACTACCTCGATAGCGCAAGCCTTCACCAAGCAAAGCTCTGCTGTGGCTGCCGCGATGCATGTCATTCCGAATCGGGTCAGCGTCTATAGCTGACGACCAAGAATGGAACTTAGGCATTCACAGTGGGTCTGCCCTAAATGCTACTTTCGTTCCTTGCCCGAACAAAGGCAACCCAACACAAGCCAGTGAGTGCTGTGGCTTCAGAGACGTTGCCGCCGCCCCCCCCCCCCCCCCCAAACCTGAAATTCTTTGCACTTGCAGCCCGCCTGTCGAGAAACTGTTGACGGTCCTGACGCCATCCCTCTCAAGCTTTCGTTAAGCTTGAACATTATACACGACAGGATAGCTAAAAGGGCCCACAGCATGATTAGCCTGTGTTTGCTCAGCTTCTTTGTGAAAGCTGGGACTGTTGGTTCAAACATATTCCTTGCTGCAGCTGTGTCGGACAATGCTCACCAGGTCCACACGTGTAGTTGATTCGGAGTCTAGGGGGTGTCGTTGCGTTGCCTCGACAGTGAAGCAGAAAAAAAAAAGCTACTGTAGGAAGCCTGAAACCTTGAACAGATCGACTCCAATTTGAATCCTCCGACATTTGTACAACGGGAGTCCTGATGGCTCAGCGGCCCAGCGAAAGCAGCTGCTGCCGCAAGTACGGCTGAGCCTTTCTGCAACTCAACTCAATTCTCCATGGGGTCTCAGCTTCGAAAAGAGTCATTGGGCAACTCGTGAGTGCATAGCATTCAGGGCTCCAGCTCTTGAGTCGATTCATTTCATGATTTGATCGGAGTCTTCCAGGCTGGGCACTGTGAGAATGACTGTCAACCGGAATCCCATACGGTGCCAGGAAGCCACTGCCGAAACCCAGACGCGAATCTCAGGCTACAACGCTGCGGAATGCTTTCGAAGTCGAGCTCCTGCTTCAGAATTCATGGAGAGCGGGAGAGGGCCTCTCGAAGTGCCACTCGGAATTCGAGAGCTCGAGAAGCTGTGAGAAGCTTTCAGACTTTGGGTTTTGGGATGTTGCGGGCCTTGACCTTCGGTGACTTTCCTGAAGCTCGAGGTATGGAACCCATAGAATTACGACTAGTTGCAGTTCCAAGCCGTATGACATACACGCCACAAAGGGAGCTCGGGACCCAGGTTCCTGACAGCAGACCTTCGCACCTCAACTCGAAGTCGGAAACTCTCCTGCGCCCGGCGAGCTTGATCCATGGCCTCAGTGAACTTGCCAGGTAGTGAACTGAGGGACATTCCGTGGAGTTTTCTGAGGGTCTGAGGGTCGCCAAATGCAAGTTGAACATAGCAAAGCTCTCCACTGCGTGAAAAATCGTGCGGGATGTCGCCCCTCCCACAATGATGAACAACACACGCATGGAGAAATGTGCAATGGCATCTCCTCAAAAACCAACAGCTAACAATCTCAAATCTTGATGAGGTCAACTCTTGGAAGCGTCCGCTCAGCTGCACCTCCCTTTTAAATCCCTGACAGAGCCTATGGGAAAGTCTCAGTATCTGAACGATGCGAACCACCCTGCTACCTTTTTGGGATTCAAGATCCTGTCCGTGCAGGATGGATTACACTCCAAACCTCCAAACAACATGACACTCTAACTACCCAGGCCGCGAAACCCCAAGACTTCAAGTGGAGTGAAAGCCTGTTTGCAAAAGGACACGACCACAAATCCCGGAACCCTAAAGCTTGACACCGATGGCCTGCAACAACCGCTCCGCTGGCGCAGAGAAGCGTTCTGCTCGGGCAACGATCCTCTGTGGTACATGAATCACAGGGGCCGCGGGTCATGATGACAACACGAGTCACAAGCAAGGGGTCATAAGAGATGGCTCTTGATGCCCCTCTGAGAGCTTCGTCCACCAATCCTCTTTCAAGCGATAACATCACGGCATGCCGTGACTACATCGACCGTTGAACTACAAAAGGTCTTCATCTCTGTTTTGACTGCTGTGTTGCTTCTATGACCATTCCCTCGACCCCCACCGATGGATGAGGCCCGGAAGCTGCACACCCATGAGCTTGTGCAGGTTCTTGTTCTGGGGTATGTATCGGGTATGTCAGTCTGTCCGTCTCTGTGTCTCTGTCCGTCGGTTTGTCCGTCGGTCTGGCTGCCTGAGTCCGAGTGTATGTATGTATGTATGTATGCATGCATGTATGTATCTGTGTATGTGTGTGTGTGTACGTAAGTATGTGTTTAAGTATGTAAGTATGTATGTACGTATGTATGTATGTATGTACGTCTTGCCAGATCTAGGAGACAGGCCATGATACAGTATCTATACACGTGTGTATATGTACATATATGCACCGAGATGTATGCATGTGTGTTTGTATGTGCCAATAATACATGTATACGTATTCATGCCTTTGTACATATATACCTATATATGTATGTATGTATGTACGTGTGCATATATGTCTGCATGTTTATATTCACATGTTTATGCTGTTCAGGTATATTATTTGTACGGATGTAAAGGACGTTTGCATGCATGCATGCATGCATGCATGCATACGAACATGCATAGATAGATTTATGTAACTGTACCACCACATACATATGTATGTATGTGTATATGTTTGTGCATATGTACATGCCATGCACATGTACATGTTTCTGTATATGCGTATGTATGTGTACATGTATACGTATGTGAATGTGTATGGGCATGGGCTGCATGGATATATGTACATGTAGATGCATATATGTATACGTATGATGGATACATGCACATACAGATGCACTTGCATGAATATGCACATCATAGTTATGTTTCCACCATTACTTTATTTATGTTTAGGTGTATACAAGAACATGAATATCCATGTGTGCATATACATGTACATATATATATATATATATAGATGTATATATGTATGTGTATGTGTATAGTGTGTGTATACTCCTAGGTGTGTGTATATATGTATATACACATGAGGTATATGTGTATATACACATCAGTGCGCTCATGCACGTATTCGTACTGATGTACTATCTATGTGCTTATTGCTCCGGAGCGTAGCGCTTCTAGGGACAGCGTATTTGCAGTATGCTCATCCGAGATGTGCGCCAATATTCGAGTTGAAAAATGAAAAATCAGCTGCATGATACTGGTTGCCAGCAAGAGACTCGGCATTTTCGCCGATGAAGCCCTGCAAGCAAAGGGGGTGCACGTGCAAGCACTTCAGTAGCAAACAGAAGCTTTCAAGCAAGCAGAACCCAGCTGCGGGACCGAATAGTTGATTGCGAACCCAGCCGAAGAGCGCAAAGCATGTCGGCCAACCGAGGTCTGTGACCCTTTGGGACGTGCAGGAAGGGCAAGTTGCTTTGTTTGCAGAGTAACGAGCAGTTGCACAGCTTGAAGCTGCATACAAACAAGGTCGCATTATCACGCTGAAGTTCGAGACCACGACCGTTGGCAAGTATGTCGCTACAGCTACTCCATCGTAGTCAGTTCTATTGTCCCTCATCTGGTCGTCCAGCCTCCGCATCGCGAAGTCGGAGCTTTGTCTCTCGTGCCTGGACCTGCCAGGCATGCTCAGAACATGACTCCTATGAGCCGATATCTGGGGTTGATTAGGGCTTATAAGGCCGAAAAAGGGCTTCAGGATGCGGTCAAAGTTGCTCGACATCATGGCTTAGGGCTGTTGATGACTACGTACTTGCCCTGCTCAAACCGAGCTCTCCCAACAAAGAAAGGGCTCTCTCCCCAAAGCCCAAAACCTGAAGTGCCACAGACCCTTCGCACTGCATCAGGCCCTGGATGCTTGCGATGAGGGTTTGCCCTCCAAAGGCTACAGTGAAGTGCTGGTTGCTAAGGAAAGTTACTTGTGGGTTTGTTGTGGTGACTGCCATGGCGCATTAATCTACGTACTTCTGCGCCTGAAGACTACACTTGAAGTCGACTCAAGACCATGGACAGTGCTAACCCCGAAGTGTCCACGCTTGCTGGTTTTGGGTGGGCACAAGCCTATTGGGCAAAAGTCGGAAAGACTGTGCAACTTTTTCCTACCGCATCCTTGCTGCACAGCAAGTACTGACTGCTACTAGGCGGTGCCAGCCGCGACCTTCATGGCTGATTGCATGAAGTGAGAGTGAGGCACTGTCACTTGCGCTCTTCGAAGGTAGATGTGCTGGGAATAGGCGTGGAACCTTGAGACTTCATATACTTGTACCATACGGCACAGACATTCAGACGTTTCTTCTGCAGGACTGTGGGCGGCTGGAGTTTGCAACTGCATGGCAAATGCAAAACTTGCGAGCGGTGGGCGACGACGAGGCGCACCCTGCAATAAGTGACCACAGTGTCAAAACAATTCAGTGCACAGCTTCGATTATCCTACTAATCGAATAAGGGCTTCTGCAACGATGAACTCAGCCGAGCAACTTCAGCTCATCTTCCACCTCTACAAGAAGGCGTATTTGGACATCTTCAGCGCAGGAATGGAAGTTGTTAGGGTTCATGTTGCGGAGATTCAGCACAGCCGAGAGACCACGAACTCACCAGGCGGGCAGAGCTGCAGAAAAGCCTGCAGCAAAGCTCTTTCAGATCCCTTGCTTGCAAAGGTGGTTCGAGCTGATATTGAAACCTTACGGGCCAACTCATGGGACCTGGCAGCATCATATCGCCCTTGTGCATATGCCCTGTTGGCGTGCACACAAACAGAGACATGCACGCACGCACACATCCAACTGCTTATTTGTGGTGGATCTGCAGGGTCAAGACTGAACAGTTTGCAAGTACCTTCATTCTCTGTTTCGCGACCAGGCACGCCAGGCACGTAAGTCCCCCTCAATAATCAATACCCTCATGACAAAGATGCCTTCCCTTCAGGGACCTTGCACGCCGCAAAACGCAGAGGGAGAAACATGAAGAAGCTTGCAAGTGTTACATGTCTTTTATGTCCCGAGCATCGACCAAAATCTAGTCCCGTCATGTGGGAGTGTACGACTGCGGACAACAATGACGCAACAACACGCATTACCTGAGAGGGGCGGTGTCCTTCCTGGGTCCTTCCTCTAACAGCTGAGGCATTCAGCATCGACTTGATCAGGAGCAACACAAGACGACTGGACTTGGCGGAAGCGCCTGCATCGCGGCAGTAGGACCTGGGGCGCCCCAGATCTTGTCCAGTTTGGCATCCTGCACCTTGCGGCTCTTAGGTTCGGGTTTCAGGAAGGACTCTATCTGACACTTGTTTCTTGTCCGAGAGCGATCTCAGAAAACTAGGCTAAGTGCGAAACTGTACCGGAGTTGGATTGAACTACGAGCGTCGAAGCACCGGGAACCAGCACGGCTTAGTCCTCAAGTGTGCAAAACTTGGGGTTGCAGTTTGGCAGTTTAGCAGCTTCATGTCTTTCTGCTTTGTGCCACCCCTGAAGACATGGAATTTGTACATGTGTGACTCACAATATCTGCCGGAAGACTGCCGGCACCGTTGAAGTGACTCACATCAAGAGGGCTTGCCACCGCAAAGATGTTATGATATGCAGGGCCATGGTGTTCCTTGCCTTATTCTTTCTCTCTTTCCCCTCTCCCGTCCCGGAGGGGAGGCCTCTCTCGCTGTCTTTCTTATGCTCTCTCTCTCTCTCTCTCTGACCACGTGCCACTGCCACTGCCATGCCGTGCTGGCTCGTGCTGCAGCTAGGAACTCAGCGCCCGGCGATAAGGTAAGAGTTTTTGGTGACGAAAGGGGCATAATACACGAGTTCCTGCATGCAGCATGCAGGACGATTTTCTGCAGTTCCAGTGATGCCAGCATCGCTTGCAGGCCCCATTTGTGTGGACACGGTCCCGCGCGCATTACACAACTTGTACATCACAAAGGCCTGGTCTTGGCTCATCATGCGCCTGCATGCCTCAACATGTACATATTCCATCAGAGGCGGCGTCCATGTATCCTAGCCGCTGGGTCCTTGAGCAGGCCATCGAACTCGTGGTTCCTCAGCGAAGCAAGTATATTTGGTCGTTGAACGCCGCACAGTCACATGTCCTGAAACAAAATCAGCGGACTCTGGAACGTCACTCGAATAACAGCGCTTTTGTCCTCAGGAGTACACTTTCCAATCGGACCTAAGCCAGATCTTGCAGCGCAAGAGGCGCGTCCAAGTTTACAACAATCGTCTTCTCGTCCTGCGCCGATCCAGACTTCGACAACTATCTGCTGTAGGAGCGCCCTCGCATTAGCTAGGGGAAAGCATGTTTGCTGAAGCATGGATAATGGCCCCGGGTGAGTTGCGTGTACTCCAGGCTTCGGGTGCCTAGGCCTGACAGGCTCTACCAGCGGAGGCCAAGCTGAAATCTCAGCAGCCAGAGCATTCAGGTGCGTCCTTGATGTCGCCTTGTGGAGGCTCTAAAAGGCCGAGGTCCTCGGCTGATCTTCACCATGGACACTTCAGAACCCAGTGCTCTGGAATTTGTTTGGACTAACGGAAACTTTCCTGTGATCTGTTTCAATGCTGTGGAGGATTTGTGAGGAAGGCTTTCCGTAGTGCGTGTTGGACTGTCACCTCGCCTTCCATAGCCTGGCTGGAGCCCACAATCTCGGACTGAATACAGGTCGAGCTTTAAACAGTCTTCAACCCCTGAGCAAAAGGCATCTCCAATTCCGACAGATGGCGATTTGATATTCTGATGTCATTGGTTCCCAAGCCTGGAATTTCTTGGAATGCACAAGACCGGCAACCCTGAACATCTAAGCACCGCGCATGTAAATTGCCGGCAACTTCCTGGAATGTATCCTGCACGCACCAATCACTCAAAAATAAGCTTCTGCAGGTCGCAGTTATATCTATGGCACCATGCCTACCTCCCAATCTCTGTCTTTGATTTCGTATTATGCAGCTTTCCATATCTGTATGCAGCGTATTTCTCTTCAGGCAAGAAGTCGTAAAGCAACAACTACCTCTGTTTATGAGCACAGAGCCCGGAGAACTCTCCGCAGGGGACGAACAGTTGCTGAGTATGCTCTAGTCTACGGATGCGGGATGCGAGACTTGGCAAGGACCGGCCCATGGATGCTAGTGCATCCACAGTGAGCAGATTGAGAATGCAAGCTGTCATCCGTTTTCACTCCGCCTGGCAATTTCAAGTGCAACCAACTCTCGATCCACCCTTCGCGGGAGGTACCCATGCATCCCCTCCTGGGAATCAGCCAGGCCTTGTATGAAGCGGACCTGCAAGCTGCGCAAGGCTCTGTAAACTCTGTTGGATAAAGTCTGGGTTTCGAGAGAGCTCGAGTCTTCTGGAAATGGATTGTGGAGCATTGTAGGGTTCCCACCTTGAGGGGAGGTCAACTGGTGCTGCTGTAAGGCTGCAGACCCAGGCTGCGTCAACTTCATGATGCATTCGTTACGCCTTCGACGGTTTCGCAAGTTGGGTCGGTCATTCACTGCTACTAGCTCGCTGTATCTCACAGCACTCGGTCATGGATTGCTACTAGCTCGCTGTATCCCACAGCACCACGCAGTCACCTCAATCGTTTGAGAAATCTAAACCAGTATTCCTTTCGGCACGGTGCCTGTACTATCGTTCGGCCTGTGCAGACAACAAGCTGTGCACGATAAACGTGGCTTTGTCGAATCTACTCAAGTCGGTGTACCTGCATCTGCCCTCCGCCACCTGAGTCTTGTCACGCTAATCATCCATGTCTTGTGTTGCATGCAAGTCGAAACTTTTGCCCAAATACCGGCTTCAAGCAAGAAAACAAGTCTACAGAATCAAACCGTGATCAAGGCAAAACTTCATGCGGCTCGGGCCTTCCGTCCCCACACTGGCGTTGTGTAGCTGCGTACACAGTCAGCGCAGGGTGGGCAGAACCAGTTCGCAGCAAAGACCTCAACAGACTCAATGGCAACGTAAAAAGCCGACTGAGGTCTGGAAGGTTTCCGGACTGGTCTTCTTTGCGACCAGCGGGGGAAGCACATCTTACTCCGTCCTTACTTTTGCAACCAGTCCGCTCTAAGACATCTCAATGCCTTGCTGGGGCTGGTCACGACGAGGCTATACCTCTTCATCAGCCGGACGCCGACTCTACAACCAAAGATGCGATGCAACAAAATACGCTCCGAACATCCGTCTCAACAAGTCCCCACGCTTTCAGCTTGAGCGGCTAGGTCGGGATGATGTCGATCCACCTAGGATTCATGAAATGTGCGGTTGTTCGGATGTAGTTGCAGTTCCGGAGATATAATAGAATAGATCCGCTCTGTCCGATGGCGGCTCGAAATCAATTCCTGGCATCCTCATTGAACACACTTCATGTCTGCAGCCCTCGTGTTGCAGATTGTAATCCGGGACGCATGCAGGTTGAGGTTTCGGCACAGGACATTGTGACCGTCTGCGGTGCCCTTCGATTGAACCGCAGAGACCGTACAATCACGACGAGGACCCGCCAATCGGGATGTGTGCTGCGCCGTCAGATGTGCATAGATGTGCCAGATGTGCTACATGGGAGCCGAAGAACGGCACATGCAGTGCACTCATTTACACTTCAAATACCTCAGCTGCAGTTCAGGGACCAGGTTTTGAGTTTATAGAGGCAAGATATGAGTCACAGTTATGGCAGCCGCGGTGCTGACAGAACGTAGCTGGGTCTGTCCTTCTCCTCCTCACGCTGGATCCAGTCTAGGATCGTTGCCTCACTGCCCGTAAACGCACACACGTACACACGCACACAGACACACACACACACACACACACACACAGGCAATCTCCCACACGAACACACACACACAGATGAATTGCATCTGTATCTCTCTCTCTCTCTCTCCCTCGCTCCCTCCCTCCCTCCCTTCACACTGACTAGAAGGGTTGTGCTATTCTCTCACTCTCTCTCTCTCTCTCTCTCTCTCTCTCTCTCTCTCTCTCTCTCTTTCTGGCTCTTTTTGCTTCCATCTCTCTCTCTCTCTCTCTCTCTCTCTCTCTCTCTCTCTCTGCCTCTCTCGTCTCTCTGCCCAACCTCTCTGGCGCCTCTGTGATTTGCTTCAATTTTACAGACCTGAGAACAGCTGGAACAAGGCACATGATCATGAATGCATACATGCCTACATTGAGGCACATGCGCCTATGTATGCATACGTTGACAGTTCTATACAACGTATATGCATATACACACATGTGCATGCATACGTGAATACATACACATAGTTGCGGATGACTTGAAGTGCGCACACTCACACACTTCTTTGCTTCTACCGAGAGATGCGTTGAACCAGTGTGACAAACAGCAAATACGTCAGTTCAACGGAACTACAAACCATTGCCTTGCAACTATCAATAACTTCAACAACGTGGTCACCCGTGACTGTGCTGCTTCAAAGCTTCAAAGAAGTATGTCAGCCCACCCTTGTACGTGCCCGTTTCGATGATGACATCGGGCTTCTTCATATACCTGGGCCGTGTCGTGGTGGTGGGATATAGACGGGAGAAAGTGCTCTTAGCTTCCTTCTTTCTTCCGCATCTGTGGCCGCGAAATCCCATGTTAGCCCATGTGCATGTTCTAGTAAAAATGTGCTCCAACTCTAGCAGGCAGCGCGGTGCATCTGGCAAACATCGTAAAATTCGCACTACTGATTCTCGTCATCATTGCCTGTAGGGCAGAAAATGAAGGAGCAAAAGCGTGTTGGACGATCAGGCAGACTCCGAGAACGCTGTCATTAATTAAAGAAGCCTTTTGGGGACCCCTATGACCCTAAATCGATGCCAAGATCATCGAGGTCTCAGCATGTCTAGGACGTTGAAACTTTCGAAGCAACTGCGCTACGGTTAGTGGCAAAGCTTCCGGTTTGTCGACCCTTCACCGTCTAGACAGAAGCCTCTCAAAATGTTTCTCCGGCTAGCGCCGCGCCACACGATGTGCTGCAAGTACAAGAGATCCTGGGAGTCTTGGAGAACCTGGACACCCAGCCACCTGACCAGGACCAGAGTACAGTACAAGCAGAGCGTAGCTGCGTAGCGGTAGACAGCAAACTAAGAGTGCTCGGCAAGTCCTCTGATACTCGCAGGTGACTCTCCCTTGCAGGAACTGCATGCGTGAACATGCACATGGCTTACGACTTGGGCTTTGCAAGGGGAAGCGCATTCTTGAAGATGAGCCATCTGCAATAGTTCTTTCTCTGCACCGAACTCCCATGCAACCGACCCGAAGCCTGCCATTGCAGAAGAGAGAATACTTCTCGAAGATGGCATCGTAGTCATCCAAAGTTTGCCTCTCTGCATCACCTGCCGGGCTGGGTAGGGGCATTGGCGAAAGTTCACGTAGAATTCGCGTGGGTTCATGAATCCGGACAGTGGCTGCGCACGTCTACTTCAAAGCAACTGGAACTCCAACTTTACTTTCACCTTTCTCCACGACCAGTGCACATCCGGATCCTGCTCAAGAAAACTACATTTTTCATCATTCAGCTGCACCGCCGGGTCACTGAGCAGCTGTTGGCTGGCTTGTTCAACGATCGACTTCCTCGATCGGACTCTCTTCTGCATGCAGGAAACTCACAGACTTCTTGAGGGGATGGCTTTCCGTGACACATCTTGAAAGAGAAACCTGAATGACCGCAGTACCAAGGTACCAAGCGCCAATCCTGCAATAGACCAGGCTTTGCTCCAGAGGCTCGTCTGCAGATAAACCCGTGACTTACTTATACACGCGACGATAGAGCTTAAAAATGAAGCAAATGTGCACAGAACCGAACTCGTAGGCAAAGCAGCTGCCCCGAGTTTGCCGGCTCCCCCTCTGGACGAACCAGAGAGACCTCGCAAAGGAGAGCAAATGCAAGCAGCTGCCCCTACATGGTTTCTGTGGGAACCGCTTCCAAGCAGGGAAGTTCCAAAGGCGACTCAGCAAAAGAGGCAGCAGTCAATCGCAGCAATGCATGGCTGAGCTCATGCAGCAGGCACCCCCCCCCCGAGCCCAACATAAAATGCAATGCCTGCCTTGAAACTGTCCGCTAGAGACTCCGAGCGAGGAACCTCATGGTCGAACGGTGGGGAAGGGGATCGACACAGGTGAACGGCCACAGCCAGGGGCCTTCGACATGAAACTTTAAACTTTCAAGAATCCCGCCGGAAGTTGCGCATTACCTTGCGTTACATTAACCAAAGCTGTTTGTCCATGGGCTATCATCCTCAGCTTTTGCAGGATGCATTCTGAGCATGGGCCAGGGCCAGGCCAGGGCACGGCATCCAAATCTGCAAAGGTCACCGCAGCAGAGGACACCGCCTGGGAAGCAGGGAATTCTGGAACTTTGTTTCGAGAACCTTGTCACTCGTCGAACCCCGACTGGCTGATGCAAAACCTGGTCTGAAGCAGACGGCGCATCTCAGCCGAAAACAAACTTCAGAAACTGCAGACTTATAGAGGAGAGTCAGGCATCGCAGACCATCCTTCTAAGCTCTATTGTAGGAAGAGTTGCAGAACTAGGTTAGGACAATGATGAGTGGATTTTCATTCGAGAACGTCGAGAAACAACCTCTGTGCTCTACCCCGGTCAAGAAACTGAGATCATTCTGGCATTGGTGTGGACCACGACCACGCAGAGCAGGTGCTCGGAATCAAAAGCCTGTAACTAGGCCCCAACTGAAATCTTGGCCTGAAGCCTCAGCACCCCTGCGGCCCCTCAAGCGCTGTTGCATTCAATATACCGTGTACAACCCAGAGAGAGAGAGAAAGAGAGAGAGAGAGAGAGAGTGAGAGAGCTTCGAAACACAGCTGCAAACCCAGCTTCGTGGGGATGCACAAGATTTCATTGGAAGTGCAGAGTCTCTAGACAATGATTGCATGCACATCTAGACAGGACCCGACGACATGCAAACAAGTGCTTTCGGCTTCCGCTCCGGTTCGGGCCACAGCAGAAATCCTAAAGGAACAACGCCGGTGCGGAATAGAGAATCAGCAGCACTAGTTGCAGCCCGGGGAACAAGCTTCTGACAGAAGCGACTCTCACCAGTACGAGGAGTCATGGAGAGCTAGTACTAGTGATAGCCCGTACATGAAAAGCCTCATAAAGAATACCAGCAGCTGTGACTAGAGCCATGAACACAGATTTCATATCAACGAAGACGATCCACGAAATTGGACCTAAAGGAACCTTGGTGAAAACCCCCAAGAAATTGCAACTCCAAGTCGCAAGGGAGGCCAGCAGGCAAAAACGCCGGAACATGGAAGCATCGCTTGACCGACGGAAGGGTAGTGCTTGTCTCTAGGCGATAAGAATCTGTACGCAAGCTGCGCGCCTAGCGTTTGAGGCTTGGGGTTTGCAAAGTCGCGTAAAACTGTGCGTCCGGATGCTACGCATTGGGAGTAGCAGTCTGCGGTGTCTCATCTCCGATGACGCTGGAAGTCGCGGGGCTTCAGTGGGGCCACAGTTTCCGTCAGGTCTGGGGCGTTTCTTGCACTGTAAAGGTCACTCAGCTGAATGTGGCGTTGCACTGTACAATAGACCTGCAGCTATGCAGCATCCTGCTTACAAAAATATTGTCTCTTGCATTTATGGCGACCAAGATTTGATGCTATGCTGGGAAGAGGGAAGCTGACAAACCATCTGGTGCAGCTACCTGGCTTGTCCGACATCTACCTCAGGAAGGGCTTGTTTGCTTTGCCTAGCTGGGCGGTACAGCCTGCGGTATAGACAGTGATCGCTTGCAGTGAATCCGCACATGCAGCAGCAAATCCACACTGAAGTGTAGAAGTTGATCGATACACAAATCACTCAAAATGCATACCCCAAAGAAAGCAGGACTGTAGTATTTTGTTCAGCTTTCAAGCAAGTACAACTCACAACGTAAAGCCTGTCGCTATCGCGACCTTGTGTCAAAATGTCACAAAGCTTGTCCTGGGTTTTCAATCTCATAAGTCCCTCGTTTTGATGCCCCTGAAGCTGGTGCCTTCAGGTTGTCTAGCTCGTCTTGGCTCTGGCCTCGAGGGGGTCAACGAGGTGGTTCGCATGTGTGCAACAATGCGTGTATACAGCGTTGACAGTCAGAGATCTATGTTTGAGTTTGCACACTTTGGTGGAATTCTAGATATGTCAGTGGGTGCGTGATCGTACTCTAGCGGTTGTACAAACAGGTATAGAGAGATATTACGAACATATATACATCTGCACGGTCATCAATCGACATTCGAAGCTGTCCCATCTGATGGCTCTGGAGTTCAGTTCAGGGTGCGTGCCTACTGGTGCCTCGTGGCGCGCTTATGCGCGTGAATGCCGATATCGTTTAAACTTGTGCGATGCTGACAAGAGGCCCAACACCACACGCGACTCTTCCAATTTGGATCGTGCTTGTTCCAAAGTCGTCTCCTGTGCCACGGCTTTCAGGAATTCACCAACAGTAGCGGTAGTTGCACTATTAGTACCAGTACCACAGTAGGCACATGTATGCATATGCACGTCAACATATCTCTATGTCATGGATGTATATGTACACACACATGCAGATGCATGTATGTATGCATTCATGTATGTATGTACGTATGTATATCCGTATGTGTGTATCACATATATGTATTTACAATATGTGCGTTTGATATGTATATATATATATACACACATTCGAGGCCAAAAGGAGATGCAAACATAATGACGGTCATGCACATTGACTGTTTTGAAATAATAGGGCGATTAACCAGAATTGTTCCAAATCTTCAACGACACCTGTACTGGAAAGGGCGAGGGGGGTTCGCATGAGTCAAACCATATCAGCAAAAATGGAGTCCGAACCTGAAGCCGAAAACCAAGTCGATGTGCTTCGAATCAGGTCTTGCTCCTTGAGCTTTTCTGCATCCTCCTTTCTTGTACTTTCTGCCAGCCGTCCCGACAACATGTGCGTGCCTTGAATCGCTAATTATGCTGCGTAGTCTCAGTCCAGGCTGGTAAGATGAGCCCTCTTGCCCTGTTGCACCTCCTCCCATTTGGCATTTCCAACTTGGCCCAGGCGACGACGGAGCCTGTCCAGCTGAAATCAGGACCAATGACGAACGCAGGCCTCTCTACATATCCTGGAACATATGACTGGGAGCAAATACGAATTTTCGCAAAATTGTCATATGCATGGACAAGCAGCATTCTCCAAGCACAGGGCACGTGAGACTCTGCAGTGTAGGTAGAGGAACGACAGGCTGGTTTCAGAAGCTCTTTCGTTCTCCCCGAACCAAACCGTAAGACTCCCTCCACAACCCACTGCAGAAATCCACTCATGTACAGTATCTAGCCCGGTGCTGGCGCGCGAATGCGTGAACCCGTGAATGCGTGAAGCCGCGAAGCCGTGAACGCGTGAGCCCGTGAACGCGTGAACCCGCGAACCCGTGAACTCGTGAACCCGTGAACCCGCGAACGCGGACGCGTGAACCCGTGAACCCGTGAACCCGTGAACGTGTGAACCCGCGAACCCGCGAACGCGTGAACCCGTGAACGCGAGAACCCGCGAAGCCGTGAACCCGTGAACACGTGAACCCGTGAACCCGTGAACCCGCGAACGCGGACGCGTGAACCCGTGAACCCGTGAACCCGTGAACATCCGTGAACCCGTGCACGCGTGAACCCGCGAACCCGTGAATCCGTGAACCCGTGAACGCGTGAACCCGCGAACCCGTGGACGCGTGAACCCGTGAACGCGTGAACCCGCCAACCCGTGGACGCGTGAACCCGTGAACGTGTGAATCCCCGAACCCGTGAACGCTGAACCCGTGACGCGTGAACACGTGAACGCGTGAACCCGCGAACCCGCGAACGCGTGAACCCGCGAACGCGTGAACCTGCGAACCCGTGAACACAAAGGCGTGAACCCGTTTAACCTGCCTCTGAACCCGTGAATGTGTCAACCCGCGAACCCGTGAACCCCTCATCCCGCCCTGAGCATCCGATGTTGATTAGGACCAGGAGCAACAGGGCTTGGTCTGATTGATTTCGAACAGAATCAGTTTAAACAACTGATCGTAATTGATATTCGTATTAATAGAAAAAAGCATGAAACCAGAGGAAATGCAGTATCTAAATCTATATGAAAATCAACATAAGTCTCTGAGAAAATCAATCTTGACATCATTCTGTAAACATATAGGATGTAGGGGTTTAGGGAGTTCAGGGGTTTTAAGGGCTTTAAGGGTTTTCGGGGTGCAGGGGTTTTGGGGTTTAGGGGTTTAGGGATTAAAGGGTTCGGGTTTAAGAAGGGTTGGTGGTATACATATATAGTTTGCATTCAATAAACAAGTAAATCCAAATTCAGCTGGAATGAAAAATGATTAACATCACATCCGATCTGGAAATATCATTTGTAATAGCTATTTCACTATTCATAAACATATTTCAATTTCATCTCAACTATACAGTTCTGCAATCCAATCTAAAAGAACCCAATCTAATCTGTATCGAATGTAAGCGACATAGAGACGAATAGAAAGAAGATATCTATGCAAAAAAGTAAATACAACCTCGAAGAAACATGTTGTGTGCATAGCTAGTGTATAAGTCTGTGAATGAACATGAATATACACATGAAATCAAACATAAAGTGAGCACTAGGTCGCTGTATTACCTAGTCACTAGGTAATACAGCTTTATATGTACATATATAATTGAAATGGAAACTGAATAAACAAATAACCAACTAAACAAATAAATAAACACACAAATAAATACGCAATACGTAAATGAATAAATCAATAAATAAAGAACAAATCACGAAAACTACAAAAATGACCAAATAAAGAAACACATAACTACATAAACAATAAATAAAACAAAACAGAAACATATTATAAACCATATGTATATATATATATATACATGTATACATATTAACGTTATTAAAGGAACAGACCATACTATAGTTTCATCGTGACAAGGACCCCACCCTCTCCTTTGCACCTTACCAAACCGGAAAAGCGCAGATTTTATCCTTGGCCCTGACACAACTAACAACCCACCCCGTCCCACTAAACACCTCCACCGACATGACCAAAAAAAGCGATTAATTCGCTTGCACTCCCCCACCCCCTCCCTCATGTGAAAAAAGCGCTGAAATCAAGGCACTTGGATTCCCCCCAGATCCCCCCTAAATCATTATCCCTATCATCCTAAATGTAAAATAATGTGGGCACCTTGAGCCAACGTGTGGTAAAGTTGCTACTTTTGTGTTGCGTTGCGGTGCTCGCGCAACCCTTTGCGTGGATTGGCGTGGTCGAAAGCACCAACGCGTGGTAAAGTTGCTACTCTTGTGTTGCGCGCGCAATGACTCCGTGACTCTATGCACTGGATTCTATGTACTGAATCTGTGCACTTGACTTTATGACTTTATGTACATGACTCTATGACTTTATATAGCGCAAAACTCTTGGCAAATAATGCTTTATATATAACTCCACCTAGCTCTTATTTTGTTATTGTTTTCATGTATTGCGTTCATACTCATTGAAAGTTATTATCTACTTCTATGGTTCAGCTATGGGCTCTATATGTATTCGTTTTTCGTTGTTCACATATATTGGTTAATACATGTATTTTCCTTTTTCGTTCCTATGTAGAATATAGATTGGATTCGATTGTTTTATAATTAGATTGGATTGCGAAATTGTAGATTAGATGAGATTGTGGTATTATTATATATACATAATCATTTTTTGCACATCTTTTATGTACATATATGTGTGTGTATATATATATATATATATATATATATATTATACTGCATATACGTAATATTTATGTTCATCGGAGATAATGATTTTATGCTTTGGATACAATTGGATTTTCAATTTATGGAAAACAAGTTCATTTCCACATCTGTGCATATACTCATAGACACACAGTATGTTTATGTACATTAAAATCGTGCATATATATATATATATATATATATATATATATATCCGGATTCGATGATTTTAGCTGACTCTATATTATATCTACAAATACAAACCCGAACGAGGGCAGTGCACACCCATGAAACCACAAAGCAAACCTAAACACAAACCCCGAAAACCAAGCAACTACATTCAGAAACCGTGCATCCTATAAACCCACCAAGCTCCAAGCCCCCCGCAAAAAAAAAGCTTTACGGATCCCTAAACCCCTAAACCCCGATTTCGCCTGCTTATTAGGACCACCGACATCCCCCCAAACCCTAGACCCCAACCCCAACCTTCAGCATCTCCGAACCCTGCTTTCATTATCCGAAGTGGACAGCCTTCTATGCTTTGGCTGGAAGGAACAAGCTTTAAGCTTAGTGTTTGTCCAAGGAAAAATATGAATGCCAGAATCAATCTAAACAACCAATAAAGTTAAAGGCAATTGGAAAGCATACAAATTTACATACAAATTCAAACAAAAAACAATATCAATATAATTGATAAAATCAATATAGAAGGTCCCATGAGGCCCCCAAAATCAATAACAAGTAAGCTGAAAGGATTGATTGTAATCAATAACGGATGCTCGGGGCGTGAAGGCGTGAACCCGTGAACCCGCGAACCCGTGAACACGCGCACCCGTGAACCCGTGAACGCGTCAACCCGCGAACCCGTGAACGCTTGAACCCGCGAACGCGTGAACCCGCGAACCCGTGGACGCGTGAACCCGTGAACGCGTGAACCCGTGAACCCGCGAACGCGTGAACCCGCGAACCCGTGAACGCGTGAACCCGCGAACCCGCGAACGCGTGAACCCGCGAACCCGTGGACGCGTGAACCCGTGAACGCGTGAACCCGTGAACCCGCGAACCCGTGAACCCGTGAACGCGTGATCGTGTGAACCCGTGAACGCGTGAACCCGCGAACCCGTGAACGCGTGAACCCGCGAACGCGTGAACCCGCAAACCCGTGGACGCGTGAACCCGTGAACCCGCGAACCCGTGAACCCGCGAACCCGTGAACCAGTGAACGCGTGAACGCGTGAACCCGTGAACCCGCGAACGCGCGGACCAGGCTACATAGCGTTCATAAGTCCAGAAATCACAGAAGCCTGCCACCTGACCAGCTCCTAACAACAACTCAATCGCACTTGCGTTCGCCAGCGTGGCTTGAGAACCGATGGAATCAAACGGATGCTATTGTCGGGAACTTGTTAGAGCCAAACAGACTCTGGCAACGCAGTGGACAGAGCAGTGGGTGGAACGGCAGGCCTGACGACTATCGTTGTTTGTTGTGGCTTCCAAGCTCAGCACGCACGTTAGTTAAACAAGCCATTACCATATACTGACTGCTTTAGCAACGTTTGTTTTCCAATAGACTCCAATAGCTTGGGGCCACCAAGTTGTTTAACGGAAGCCAGAGTCAAGCAGCTGCCTTGCCTGGATACCTGGGACAGCGCTTGGCCAAAGGTCGCAATCACCTCTCCAGCGGATCCCAAGGCTGCATTGTCTTCTGGTCCGTCTCCCATTCTTTCGTATGGCATATGTTCGTGTGCATGTATGTGTATGTGTGTATATACATATATACATATATACACATAATGTACACAAATATGTGAATGCGTCTCGCCCCTTGTCTTTCCCCTCCCTCCCTCCCTCCCTCTCTACCGGAGGTGGGACTCAGTCTACTCTACCGACCCACACACACACACACACCAACGCGCGCACACACAAACACATATAACGGCATCATACAAAAGCGACTCGCTGTGTGTGTATGTATATATATATGTACTCATAAAAACACACACACACACACACAATATCACTGGACACAGAAGAGCACGACATGATAAACATAAAACACAAATGACTGCAAACACACACACACACAGAGCGACTGCCACAGGCAACATACAGGGAATGAAGCACCAAAGCGGGACCTCGGCGATTGCGATGGCCCGATTTGTGTCTTCGGTCTTGCCCGGGTCTTGACCTGAATCTTTCTCAACTATGCCAGCACTAATGCATGCAAATCGTTTCACCATCGGCAGCAATTGGCTCGGAACGGGCTACTTCGCTCCTGTGTTTGGCTTAGCCCTTTTGAGCAGGATGACCATTAAGACACCACAGCACAAGGCGGCACCGGGAAGCCTTCACAGACTCCGGCCATTCCTCCTCCACATGTCATGGGACCAGGCCGAGCCACGACCCTCAAAAGAAACAAGTTCGTGTGGCCCGAACCGCCTGTGTTGGGAAGGCTCTGCAATCTTGGTGGCACCTCCACCTTTCTCTCCCATGCTCCTGCCGCCGTTGCACCGATTTCTGCGGGCATACAGGGGTGGGCTCACTCGATTGTCTACGTGGCTGAGGCCTGAAGCAAGTAACTTAGTTCTTCTCGTTAGAAGGGAAACAGAAAAATGGAACACAAGGCTCGGATTTAGCGCAGCTTCAGGATGGCTGTCGATCTTATTGTCACCGCTCCGGCCTGGCAAACTGTCGGTGCAAACGTGACGTTACGTTATGAATAAAGGGGACTACAGTATGTAAGTTTCTATGCTTTTCGGAAACATTCGAAAGCATGTGTATCTGTGCGCTCACCGCGAAGCGAGAAAGGACTGCCTTGAGGTCTCGAAGATATCACTCTCGAGTTCCTGCTTGGGCTGGCTTAGCACAAGCAAACATCACAAACTGTAATGCCGTAGCGAAGCCTCTCCATGAACCAACTACAATGACATCATCTGTAATTAGCAGCAATGAAAGTTGCTCCCGTGCTGTCTCAAGGAGTTACAAAATCTCTATCCCAAATAGAAACGGTAACTCCGAAATGAGGAAACAAGACGATTCCAGCCGCAATACTCAACCGTCACTGGTTATGACTCCAAAAATCCTCAGGCTATTTCGAACCTTACGGCCAGGCCCCACTTCACCCGAGACCACCAATCCTAATCTCCAAATCCCTTGTAGAAACACTCTTAGCTCCAGACTCAAATCCAGTCCGTCCATTTCGGCCATAGCATCCTTGCTTGTCAGAAGGGATCTCAAAGCCCGCGGGCCCGCGCAACCAGAGCAGCTCAGGGCTTCAAGTGGCGGGTTTAGGAGGAGTCGAGCTTTCAACAAGGAAGCTTTCTGAGAAGAAACTGGGCCTCTATGAGGACACATGGCCTGGAGGATGACATGATTGCAGGCCAACAGGAGACTGAAGCTGGATCGAAGCAGCGGGCCCGATGCAACATTCCACAGTCGCAGGATCACGTTCAGCTCCAATGTCTGCCCAGCCACTCTCCCATGCACTTCAAACACGCACGCCTTGCGTGCCTTGGAGTCTCAACAATTATGCTTGAGGAAGTGGCCCTCGGAACAGTGTCCACGTCCAGCTGGCGGATGAGGGCTGGCCTCGCATGGCTTTTCGGAAGTTCTCGGCTTGGGCTGACTTCCACCCAGGGATTCTCGTAGCTTCTCGGACTGCGGGTCCGGATGTTCATACTTTCGGCGGGCGGGGTGTCGGAAGCTGTATGATACAGAGGCATCCCAGAGGTAGCGACAGAGAAATCTCGGGCCCGGTTAAGTCAAGTCCGTGTCTGCCCGAAGGCGAAGTGGAAGCAGCTCGACAGTGGAAGCCTCAAACGGTCACACGCCCGTGTCGATAAATGTCTCCTACCGACAGAGTTTTCGTCTTGTTCTGACTCTCTGAGGCGGCGGCTTGGGGAATGGTCCCCCATTCCCACGTCCCGAAACTGAAACCTAGATGATTCCACAACGATCCAGGGCTGCTGCGTGGACCCATCATTGGGCAGAATCCATCTGCCCCGCTCATCTGGCAGACCTGGGAACAAGTGGGGAGACGCAGCCCGAGGCTTGCTGTCTTCATTCAGTGAACATCTCAGAATCAGTTGTACTGTGGCGGAAAAGCCAAAGACTTACAGCGTCGCATAAGAAAACCCGCCAAAAGGCCAGAAAAATGCAATGAGCAGTATCGTTTTGCAGTAGGCTTCTTCATCATCGGCGTTATGAACGACATGACCACCACCAACACGATCATAGCATCAGCAGCGCCGTCAGCACCAGTAGCACATCAGCAAATTCAACGTCGTCACTGTCCTACGGTCCTACGGGTAGTCAAGCAAAGCACGAGCCATACCAGGCGTGGCTCACAGCATGATGTGGCCAGAACAATCCTCAGCCGTCAGCCCAGGGCGCTTGAAAGGCATCCGAGTGTGACTTGGATCAGGAAGCTCTCCTGCAGGTTGCATTGGTTCCATAACTATACCGACTGGCTCACGTTGCGTCTGCGACTTGCAAACAAAATCCCGAAGCTCTACCGGGTAAGCGGAAGCACCGAGAGACTGCTCTCTCACCCTCGAAGATTGCGCCTCAGACCCCACCTCGCAAACTCCGAACAGTCAGCTGGTTCTCACAAACACCCCTGCTTCGGAGTCCTGCTCTGCGTTGTTGAGCCTCATGCGACAGCTTCCAAGCCAAGAAAGGAGGATAAAAAATGCCAACAGCGCAAGTGGAACTGCAATGTGCGTTGCTACCGCTGCACTACCGGTACTGGCACCCGTACTGGCCTTGGCAATACTAGTGGTGTTGCTACTGAAACTGCTACTGTTGCTGTTTCTACTGCTGCAAGTACCACCACAACTACCAGCAGCCACCACCACCCCTGCCATGAACGTGACCGCGACTGCCATCGCTACACAGCGCGACCACGACCTGGTTCACGACCACTTACCCGACCACTGTACTACCCACCACCATACTGGTGCCATTAGTGGTACTAAAGCTGGTCGTAGTACACGAACCGCTCCTACTACTACTACTGCTGCTGCTGCTGCTACTACTACTACTACTACTACTACTACTACTACTACTACTAACACGACGACAACGACGACGACGACTACTGCTACTACTACCACGACGACGACGACGACTACTACTACTACTACTACTACTGCTACTGCTACTGCTACTGCTACTGCTGCTACTGCTACTGCTACTGCTACTGCTACTGCTACTGCTACTGCTACTACTACTGCTACTACTGCTACTACTGCTACTACTGCTACTACTGCTACTACTGCTACTACTACTGCTACTACTGCTACTACTACTACTACTACTACTACCACTGCTGCTGCTGCTGCTACGAGCCGAAGACAGTTAGGTAGACTATGGCCAGCTATTGCGAGCATTGGGCGACTGCTCCTGCAATCTGACGAGGTTGCACTCACGGATATGTCACTCGATGGCTAGCCTGTTTCACCATGCTGCAGTGCTAGTGCATGCAGTGCAAGTCAATCGGTTAGTAAGGTACCATATGCATGTGCTTAGACTTTCTTTCATACTCTGGTTTGACTGCATCCTGCAGATAATGTTCCCACCCGACTTGCA